TTGAGTGAGCGATAGCAGGACAGAGTATCCACAAGACTAACTCGAGTTACTTGTTCAAATAAATCACAAAAAAAAAAAACTGAAATTGTAATTCAAATAATAGTATAAACAAGCAAATCGTGGCTTTTTAAATAATTTGAAAAATAAACAGAGTTTCAATGGAATTTAAGCGCCATCGCCCCAGGACGAAATACAGCAGTCTGCCAATTTAATAATGCTTAATGGCTAAAATCATTTTTGGTAATAAATTTCTAAACCCATATGCCATTTTAAGAGCGGTGATGATGGTGGTTGCCTCTGATATTTGAAACAGCTTTGCCCTGGCACTCTGAAGTACTCCTCTCCTCCTGCCACGGATGTGTGTGCTCCATTCCGTCAGTTCTTTCCCCGGGGGCCCAAAGGACGAACGTTGGCAGCAGGGCTGCATACTTGGGGCAGCTTCTTGTGGCAAATATTTACCTTTTGGGGCCTCCGGCATCCTCCATATGTGTGTTTCTCCAGCAGCGTTCTATGAGAAAATAACATTTGCAATTTTAAACACTTGAGACTTGTCAAATGTCTCCGGATAATGGCAAATATTCATTTATTGCAAACCGTACTTTTTACGTTATTACTCTTGTGGCTAAATTGCGATTATTTATTAATTAAATTTGTTATGACAACACAAGATGCAAAGTCATTTGGCTGAATGTATTCCGACTCTGACCCGATCGCCCTCCCACCGCAAAGCCCATCTGGCCGGGCTATTATTTTAAGACCAGGTTTTGTCCTGCTTTCAAGCTATTTTATTGAGATGTCTGGTCCCCCATCTCCGGCCATTCATTTCCCATGTCAGAAACCCTTTTTGGCCAAAAACTCACGCATACTCACACAGATGCCACATCGCATCACAAAGGCTTAAATTTTTAATGTTAAGCAGACGGTTAGGCATAATTATGTTTGTCGATGTACTACGACGGGGTTGTCCTGGCTGGGGGGTTATGAGAATTGCGGCCGACCCGGCAGGATTTTCGGTTAAGATTTTCGACCCCAAAACCAGGTGTGTGTGTGGGTGTGTAAGCTCCGGCGGCGCGTGTAAAAGGATATGCCAGGAAAATGTTTGTTTCTTTAGGAACTCGTCATCGCTAATCCTGATTACCTGGCTTTCATATCAGTAAAAATATTATGGTTTACATTTTGTTACTCATAATCGATATAAGAAATATCAAATATGAGGAAATTATTTCCTGTGTAAAAGTATTTTGAAGCAATATCCAAAGCCAACAAACTTGAGCCCGACACTTATGAGACATGTTCTCCAGGCACTTTGCACTTCTGTGGAAATTTCCAGCTGACAGCACTCTTCGTCCAGCTGGGCTCTGGACCACTCCCGCCTATCCCTGAGTAGAGTTATGTAATTGACTCGAAATCTCTTCTATACATTAGATATTTTATGGCCCATATAAGTATGGAGTATGGCGTATGGCGTATAGCCGCTATACAGGATAAATGTTGTTCGTCGCAAGCCGAAAACTTTTCTGCCGCGACAAGGAAAAATTGCGAAAAAGAACATTTTTCAGAGCCAGAACCCCTAGCTATCCTGCTACCCAACTCCTCTGCTTCCAAGCTTTGTGCTAAGTTCGGCATCGACGGTTTTAATTTGTGCGAAATTAAGCAAAAAATAAACTCATTTTGTTAGCTGCAGCACAAACATGGCGAAACTTTTTCGATAGCTGTCTGACAACAAAGACAACAAAAAAAAAGGGGGGAACACCAAAAAAAAAAAGAAATGGAGAAAAAAAAGAAAATGCCGCGCTCGAAAACTTTCGGCGGAAGTTGATGGCAGGAAAACTCGAGTAAAATGTGCACGAAATTGTGTCTCTCTCTCGCTGTCTATTTTTGGCGAGGAGGAAGAAAAATCTATGCGATTGAGAAGAAATTGCAAAATTCAATGCCTGCAGTACCCGTGGGTGGCTACGGCTCCATCTCCGTCTCTGGCAACTGGGCCTCTGGCGTTTTCTATTACGGCATCTTCATTCCGGCCCAGCCCAACCCGTCCACCAATTTTTAGTTTTTCTTTTTTTTTTTTTTGGGCAATGACTTAGTGCCGTCTTCCCGGAGGAGCATGCAAAGCTTCAAACTGCCGACGGTGATTTAGTTGTTAGCCTGCGGACAAACATTTCATGGCTCGATGTGCTCAATTCAATCAATTGCCAGTGACAGACGACAGCCAACAGACAGGATGCAAGTAGCAGGAGGCAGGAAGCACGAGGCAAGTGCCAGGATAACAGGTAGCTCCACCGCCTCTACTGCCATGGTGCAATTTTAATCAAAATTCGCATGTGTGTCTGCATGTGTGGATCACCTGATATATTGCGACTCCGGGTTCGCAAGCCTTCGCTTGTCACAGGCTGGCGTAATGGTGACATTGCACCAAATGAGTATTGAACATGTCCGACTCTGACGGAAAATGAAAATGGAAGTTGGCTCAAGGACTTGCCAGCGGTGAGGACATCAAAGGCTTGGAAGTTTAGTCTTTTGTTGCCGCAAACAATATGTTTGATTTTTTAATTTTGGAAGTAAAGGAATGTCAAGTCTTAGACAAGTCTTGTATAAGTTAGTATAGGCACTGATGATCTAGTAACAAGTGATAGCAATTACTGCTTCTAAGGGCCTTGCTTAGACCTAGACTGTGTATGTGCTTTAGAAACCCCGAAAAATTCCATTCAGATTTGCAAGCAAACCTGACCGCTCAGTCGGATGATTTCCTTTTGTTATTCACAGGCCATAGAGAGTGCTCCGTCCATTTGGCTAATTGTTCAGTTTGTTTTACGTGTATGGCTACAAATTGGCCAAAGCACACGTTTCCCCAGACAGGTTGGCCCACCTGGCAGGCCCCCCTCCGGCTCGTGGCTCGTGGCTCGCGGCAACAACTCCGCTTTTCAAAGCCTCGAACCCGGGTATACTAAGGGTATACACTGACTGGCCTGCCCCTTTGGAACAACAGCAGGTTTCGTGCACATTCTGGGTTCATAATAATTTAAATGCTCGGCACACAAAGTGACAGGGCAAAGACAAACAGAGGTCAAGCCCGACTCCGTCAGTGGTGCTGCTGCATGTTGTAGTTGCATGTTGCTGATGTTACTATTGCTCCAGCAACTGGAAATGGCTACGTGACCGGATACACTGCAGCGGTTTGCATTTAAATCCAAATGCAACAGCAACAAAATTAGCACAACCCAAGGGTCAGTACATAGGACACTGACAAAAATTATCAATAAAGTTTAATATTTTTAAGACAAGTCCACAAAAGTCTCTTAGGTTTAATATTTATTTCAAACTATTTAGGATTAAAAAACACACAAATGAATTAATTGTTTAAGCCGTGCTGATTTTTCTTTCTCTGTAACTGAAGCCGTCCTAACAACCAAAAGGGATTAGACTGTTTCCTGGTGCCGGGATGGGGCATGGGGCATGGGTGGCAGTGGCAACTTGAGTTAATTTACTCTGGCAAGCAACAAGCTCTGCGCAAATAGCAAACGGCAAACGGGGCTCTAGTTTCAGTTCCATTCCTTCCTACCGAATCCAGAAACGAATCCGCATACGGACAGGATCCGAACGGACTGGAAGGCCCAACGGATCAACAGTCGGGCAAACAAATGGCGTTGCAATTGAGCACGTTTTTGTCGGGTCGACAACACGGACACAGGACATTGGACGTTTACAGACTCCGATTGCGACTTCTGGCTAGTTCCTGGCCCTGGCTCATGGCCCATGGCTTCTGGGTCCTGGCTCCTAGTGGCATCCAAACCGAATCACCGTGTTGCAGGTCAAGTGGCATGCGGCAGTTGACAGTACGTGAGTGCCCCAGGATGTTTTCACAGGATGCTGTTTAGCCTTTCAATTCCGCCAAAGTGAAGCTGCATTTGAGAGATGAAAGCTGGCTTCAGGCTGCAGTTCAATGCATTAAGAGAATTATAAAGAATCGATGAAATCAAAGCCTAAATTTCGGTTTCAACAAAAGGGAAACCGGAAATTCCATTGGGCCATAAGCAATCTCAGTGGCTAAATGGCTTAGAAAAGTAATTGGAAACCGAAACAATCGGTGCCATTTATGGAAACGATCACCGGCTGCAGGTCCTTGGCCAAATGCCTCAATGCATATTGAAGTCCGACACGCAACGCCCCAGAGAAATTGGGAAAAAGGCCAAAAGGAAACAGAGTCCTGGCGCAAAACAAAAAAAAAATGGGACTTGGCAAATTGCAAGAGAGGCAGGTCCTGGGTATTGGGCTTTAGGTAAACCACAAAAAAGGATCAACTTTCTGCCCTTCTATGTATACTTTTTTTTTGGGTGCTGCGGTAGTTAAGAGCAGCAGAAGCAGCAGCAGACGGGTCCGGCATAAAAGAAACATAACTAATTTGCATAAAATGTGAAAACACGGAACACAGATAGCTCGGGCCCCCTTGCCTTGGTAAACTTTGTTGACGGAAATCGAGCAAGTGGCGAGTATATATAGAGTGTCCCAAAAAAATATACATAAGCTCCCTCCCCACCCGAAACTCTAACCGAAACCTGCGCTGCGGTTTTGACCCGAGTTGGTTCAGGTACTACGTACACTACTAGCCGGCGTGTGTTTGCCAAAACTTTTGAGGAAAATGTACAAAACACTAAACCAAGTGAAAACCACGAAAGTCCGAAGGACCGCCTCCGTCTTTAAGCCAAAGAATAGGGCGAAACTTTCGGCATGACAAAGTGAAAGTTGCGGGTGTTGCAGGGCGAAAGTTGGCCACCACTGGCCACCATATTAGCGGTTTTACAAAATATTCCCAGGCGTACGATAAGAGACAGATACAGGGCCTACATGTGGGTGACTTTTGCTTAGTTTGCTCCCGAGTTTTAGAGTCTCGGGGCTGAAGTTCAAATTATGCAAAGGGGAGAGATGCCCGGCCCGAGTCCCTTACAAAGTGGAATATCTTAGCATGCTGATGTAAGATTTTTTGTATTTTTTTTTCATTGCAGTTTGGTCAACCGCACCATGCCTGATGCCACGAAAATCCGGATGATGGTGGGCAGAGCTCTGGCCGTTTGGGAAAACAACTCGAAGCTGACTTTCCGGGAAGTGTACAACGAGCAGGCGGACATCCAGATACTCTTTGCACGGTGAGTAGGGGGCTTCCAGGGGGGTGGATCGTAAAAAAAAAGTGAGTCTTCAGTGCCATAAACATGAAATACCAGCCAAACGCACATAAAATTGCACTTAAAACCAGGCGAACGATAAATAAGCCAAGTATTAAGCCAAGGCGAAACGATGATGGCGATGATGGAATGTCACCGAGGACAGAGTCGAACAGGAGGAACAGGTCCTGTGCGTTGTCCTGAATCAAAGAGTTTATGTTGCAGCTGCTTGTTCTTAGATAAGCTGTGAATATGATTTCCTTTTAGCTACGCTCGTAATTTTTATACCGGATCGCTAAATCGCTGAAGGACTAATCCAGGATCTTATGGTTTTTTCCAGGCTCCAGCACGGCGATGGCTATAAATTCGATGGACCCGGTCAGGTGCTGGCCCACGCCTTCTATCCCGGCGAGGGCCGTGGCGGGGATGCCCATTTCGACGCCGACGAGACCTGGAATTTTGATGGCAATGCCGACGATAGCCACGGTGAGTCCCCGTTTTCATTTAGTTCACTTCATCAACTAACCATATATCCCATGGCCTCCTTGCGGAATTGTGTGCAGCCTTTGACATGAATTAATTACATTAGATTGCAATAATATTGTTACGCGTTGATGCAGTCTGGTCTGCGGCCATTTTTTTCCTCCCAGTTTGGTGATGAAAGACACTAACAGAAAATGTGGGTCCTTTAAGCTTAGGTTTTGTAGTTTAGAGAGGATTTTATAGTTCTATCTTTGGGCTAAATTTGAGATATCATTATCTACCCACAATGTAAAACATATCCTCTTATCCTAGACCATTTGTTAATAAGTTTTTCTATCAATTCTGTTCGTATTTCTGCAAGTGCAGACCAAAACCACATGCGAGCAAAATCAATAAGGGCTGCAAACGTTGCGGTGGGCCATGAGGCAGGAAGGAAGCCCCAACCATGAACCGTGGCGAGCGGGTATAGGGACCATGACTGGCGACGCGTCTCCTCTAGCATGTAGCCTGCAGCCTGCAGCTCGGATCCTGCCTGCCTCCTGCCTCATGCCTCTTGCCTCTTGCGTTTTGTAATTTAGCACAATAAATCGTCAGCGAACCCCGCAAACTCCGCAAACATGGCCACAATGGCGATGTGCTTCGGCATTTTTAATGGTTTTTAATGCCAATAAAAAATTGTCAGCATGACGCGTGACGTTGGCAGCCATTTTAAAATGTTGCAAGCGTCGCCATTTTTATGCCACTTACAAAGTCGTCAAGGCGACTTGGTAGCACCACAAGCCCCTTTTCCCAAAACCCCAACCCGCCAAAACCCGACAGCCGTATCCTTGTCTTGGCCATTAAACAGTCAGCGTATTTATGTTGCATTCCATGTCTTTTCGTGTTGCAGGAACCAATTTTCTGAACGTGGCGCTGCACGAACTGGGTCACTCGCTGGGACTGGGCCACTCCTCGGACCAGAATGCGGTCATGTTCCCCTGGTACCAGAACAACGAGGTGGACGGCAAGCTGCCCGATGACGATCGCAATGGTATCCAGGAGCTGTACGGCTCCAAGGAGAAGGTATGGGGTCCCTACCGACCGAATGCTACTCCGAGAACCACAACAACCACCACCACGACCACGATGCGACCGCTGAGATATTATCCCCAGACACCACGTTATCCTCCCTACAATCCCAGCCGGGAAGCGGATAGGGAGTATGAGCGGAGACTGCAGCGGGAGCAGGAACGTCGTCTCCAGTGGGAGAGGTCAGAGCGTGAGAGGGTGGAGCGTGAGAGGTCAGAACGTGAAAGGGTGGAGCGTGAGAGGGTGGAACGTGAGAGGTCAGAACGTGAGAGGGTGGAGCGTGAGAGGTCGGATCGTGAAAGGTTGGATCGTGAGAAATGGGAAAGGGAAAGGAACCGAAACAGATATGCCACCACAACCACTGTAAGGCCAACCACTTCCACCACCACAACCACGCGGAGACCCATCCGGACACATACGACTACCAGCAATCGGAACGGCCATCACCACAAGCCACGGAAACACAAGCTGGACAGCTGCAAGATCAGCTACGACGCCATCTCCTTGATTCGCGGCGAACTCTTCATTTTCCGAAAAAATGTAAGTGGTTGTCTTTCTTCCAGTTCTAAGGATTAACATTTTAACCCAAAACCGCTTCTCTTCTCCAGTATGTTTGGCGCATTGGACAAAAGGGTCTATATAACATGTATCCCGTGGAAACTAGACGACACTGGTCTGCCTTGCCGCAGAACTTGACCCGGGTGGATGCGGTCTACGAGAATAAACGGGGTCAGATCGTGTTCTTTATAGGTAAGTCGATCCTTAAGGATATATACAATTGTATCTTACATCCATTCACTTATTCAGGTCGTGAGTACTTTGTGTTCAACTCGGTGAACTTGGCTCCCGGCTACCCGAAGCCACTGACCAGTCTGGGCCTACCGCCCACCCTCTCCCACATTGACGCCTCCTTCGTGTGGGGACACAATAATCGCACCTATCTGACAAGCGGCACTCTGTACTGGCGATTGGACGATGCCACCAACCAGGTGGAGCTCGACTATCCGAGGGATATGAGCATCTGGTCGGGCGTGGGCTACAATATCGATGCCGCCTTCCAGTACACCGACGGAAAGACGTACTTCTTCAAGAATCTGGGCTACTGGCAGTTCAACGACGACCGCATGCGGGTGGCCCATGCCAAGGCGCTGCCGTCCTCGCACAAGTGGATGCAGTGCGTCCGGAGCGCCAACGAGGTGGACGAGGAGCACTGGACGGCCCCGTTGGTTTCCGCTGAGAGCGAGGACGAAAACGAGGATGGAACGGGGAGAAGCGGCACTCAGAACCTGCCGATCAGTCTCCTCCTGCTCCTGACTAGCCTGTTATTCGCCACAATACTGAGCAGTTAAGATTCGTAGAAAGGGTCTAGGTTAAGAAACCCATAAAATACCATTTTGCATAATTACGAAAAAAAATAATAAGGATAAGCGCGGGAGTTGTAGGAAACGTTTTTGGTTTTATTGTTACAGATTCCTATTTCGAATTCGATTCTCAAAAGCTCAAAACTTAATTAGAAATAGAGGAGACACTCTGTAGCATCAGTGAGCCGAACAGATCTGATAGGAACTACATATAAAGTTATTATTTAAAAGCAGAGCGCAACTGTGTGACAGTCTGGCGCATTATTGCCCCCAAAGACGACACCGAACGGCCTTTCACTAGAATTAAGTACGAAATAAATCAGCAGCCTAGTGAGGGTCGGATATAGATGCAGGATATCCTTCATATGGTGTCTAGGACCTGCCACTTGGCTGATTTATTCATGGACACTTGCCAATTGTGCACACTGGCGCCATCTATTCGACAAATAGCAGGGCTGTTTAACCAGATCTAAGCAGATAAACAATACGACTAAGATATACTCTATACATATACTATCCTAATAATAAGTGACTAGCATTAAGGATGCGAGAACAGTGTGCAAGCAGCATCTATGTAGTACAGGACGAGTCGAAATTCCAAGTTGAAAATCGATACCACAACTGCCTTATAAATAAGTATAGTATTGCTTTTTTGATGGGGATAGATCCAGGGTCTAGCTGAGAGCCGTCCCCTGGTCTGATCCTCTGACCTTGTTTTGACTAAACTTTCTAATTTAATTTTATATGTGTAAATGTGATATTATCATAAATTCAGTGCGATTGTAAACGAGAGAAACCCGTGACAAAAAAGAGGACAAACAAAACAAAGAAGTTGCATTTTTGGTCATACTTTAGTTTAATTTTATATTATCTTAAAAAAATGATACTTCAGCTGTAAACCAACTTTTTTATATACAATATATCGAGACGAATCAATAAAAAGAATATGTTTCAATTCAGAACTGGCAATTTTGAGTTTAAATAATTGGGAAAAATAAAACAAAAACTATAACAAATTGGCAAGTATACAATAATGACAAACACCCCATAATTGCTTTACGTTTAAAGTCTATATAGGTGTGTTTACCTCACAAAAAAACCTCTATGAAAATATAGATAAACTCCCACTCAATTATGACGGCCCCGACTTACATAAATTCGACACTTCCATCATGATAAAGCTAAAAATACGAATTCGAAATCGAAACGTGTACGTTGGTATTGTTTCAATGAGCCAGCTAAAATGGTATAACAGAAATAAACAAATGTATCATGTTCGGCGATAATATCGTTATCAAAATATATAGACAAGCCCGACGGAGATCTCAAAGGGTAAGTGCACTGATAAAAACGCCGGCTGACTGGGTGAAAGTACTGAGTACTTTTCAGAGTATAGTATATATTGGGTATGTCCATTCGAAATGACAACTTCCTGTCGGCTCATCTTTCGGACAAAGCCATTATCTAAAGCCCCCAAGCCCCCGGCAATTCCTTGTTGATCGTAATGGTATTGTAATGAGATTACAGAACCGTAAATGGCCTCCGTGGACACTATCTTATCATGTAGCATTTAGCTGCCGTTTGACACAAGGTGTTAATATGTATACATTTATACATATTATTTTTTATATTTTCTCTAATAGTCACCAGCTGCTCCAGTAATAGGTACACTGTGAAATATCTCACTGGGTCGCTCATGTCCCGCAACCCTACCTGTTATATAGGGGTCTGTCATTACCTTATGCGTCACCGTCTGCCGTGACGTTCACATCCACACCGTTCTCCGGTGCCCCAAGTTCTACGATCCGATTCTACAATTCCAGTCCAGACCAGACCCAAAATCGGCGTTTCCACTCCGAGGCGGTGACAGTCGCGCGCCCACAGTCAGAGTCGGCGGTTGATCATACACTCGAATTTCGATTCGCGAGGAGGAGGCGTACCCGAATACATAGCACATACTATATATATAATATAAAAACTTATATGCATATCTGGTCTGTATACATCTGTATAATATTAAATTAAAAACAATTGTGAGTAGAGGTCGCAAAAGTAAACCCAGCTAGACCGCCAACCCGGCGACAAGCCGAAGGCAAACCGAAATATCTTAGGTGTGGGTGTACTTGAGTGAGCCGGTGGTGATCCCTCCTGATAAGCGATATCTTCGGGACAGTGTGTTCTTGATGCCCGATATTTTGTGAGCTTCCAAGCTAATAAACATAAAATTTTATAAGCCTGTGACTAACATGCCAGCTAATCTTAGTGAAACCCCTGTACAAATCGGTATTTTCATTCAGCTTAGAATTTGTTTCATCATGACTGATAAAAAAGAGACTTTATGACGGGTATTCTACCAAAATCTTCATACACTTTTGAGTGCAAACAGTTAATCTAATCAAAAAAGTTTGACAAGAAGTCATTAACTATATATTATAGAAGAGTTTTAATTTTTTTATAAAAGATGAATGGACAAATAACTAGAGCAAGATATTTTTGCAGCTTTTATGACTTTTTACTGTGAGTGACAGTCGTTTAAGCTTATTTTGCATTTGAATGAAAATGCACAATAAATTTATCAATCAAAAGCTTGTTAGATTTCACAAAAAAAATGCATAATAGGAGATGATTTCAAAGGAATTAGTAAGATAATAAAGCTCTTAATAATATGTTCCGTTTTTATGATTGTGACTAACCGGGAATCCAATTCGGATTTGAATCTTAAGAGCTCCCTGTTTTAATCTAATCAAAAATACTACCAAAATGTTTAAAAGACTTGGTCGAAATTAGCAGCATAACCATATGGTGAGGGTACTATCTTATCGAACCACCAGAGACACCAGTTACTGTCATAACTAGGCGGAAACGGGGGCCGAAAGCCACCGCGGTTGACTAATCGCACCTGGAAAAATTTCAATAAATCAAACCTATGCTTTGCATCGTACAGGTGTTGATAAGGATAAGGGGAACAGACCATTACCATGTCGGACGCCAACACCATACGTCGCCTGAGTCCTGAACTGGCCAAAAAGGCACAGGACGAGCTGGGCGAGGTGCCGGAGAGGATCGATGAGGATATCGACACGTTGCGCACTTGGATCTCGAAGCAGCCACATCTTAAGGCTCGCCAGGATGCCCAGTTCCTGGTGGCCTTCCTGCGGGGCTGTAAATACAGTCTGGAGAAGACGAAACTAAAGCTGGACAATTTCTATGCCATGAGAGGAGCAGTGCCAGAGCTGTACAAGAATCGTTTTGTGGGTGAAAAGCAGTTGGCTATTCTGGACACAGGGTGAGGCTTTATTAAAATGTGTTTTCTTAAATATATATCACTAATGTACTACTACTTCCACCCTAGTTGCTTGCTGAGACTGCCAAAGCCTTTGAAAACAGACGGTCCTCGTATCCACATCTCCCGCTACGGCCAATATGATTCCAAAAAGTATACCATTGCCGAGGTTGTTCAGATCAGCACCATGTTGGGTGAGATTCAGATACGGGAGGACGACAATGCCATGGTGTCCGGCTTCGTGGAGATCATTGACATGAAGGGCGTTGGCGTAGGTCATATACTCCAATTCGACGTGGTGCTGATCAAGAAACTGGCTGTCCTGGGAGACAAGGCTTTGCCCTACAGGCCCAAAGGATTCCACTTCGTGAATGCCCCCGCCAGTGCCGAGAAGATTATGTCCATTGCCAAGAGTTTGATGAGCGACAAGATTAAGAAGAGGGTAAGTTATACTTTAAATTTTAAACCACAATATTAACTAAAGTTTATATCCCAATATATAGTTCCACATTCACTCTAATCTGGAAAGTCTATATGAATATGTGCCCAAGGATTGCCTGCCCGCCGAGTATGGTGGCAGCAATGGAACCATCCAGGATGTGGTCAACACGTGGAAGACGAAACTCACATCCTACAAGCCTTTCTTCGAGGAGGAAGTGTCCTATGGTACCAATGAAAAGCTAAGACGAGGACAACCGGTTAATGCTGAGTCTCTATTCGGAATCGAAGGCTCCTTCCGAAAACTCGAAATCGACTAGTTAGTTTTTAGTTTTTTAGTCAATTTTTTAATATTTCTCGTTGCAAAAAATGAACACAAACTGGTACTAAAAACTAAATTAATCATTGACTAACTTAAATATTGGAGGTTTGCTTAGATTTCTTTTCAACAAAAACCAACGACTCGTCATGATAGGGATTGGCGGCTTCTCTAACATTTTTCAGCCACTTGGCCACCTTTGGAAAGTTGTTCTCATCCAAATTGTACTGACAAAGTTCTGGAAAAGTAAAGAAAATTAAACAATTACTTTTAAAATCTAGATTTTTTGGCAACTCACTTAATTGGTTTATTTCCGAGGCCCCAAAGAGATCCGCTACAGTGAGATGTTGTCCTACAAGAAAGTCTTTTTCCAGCCAAAGTGTCTCTAGGAGTTTCAGGTTGTCTTCCACACCCTTGATTAGCTTTTGAATCTTTTCAGGTTTCGGTTTGGGAGCTATACCATTCATGGGGAATAACCAGGCATCGCGGAAATAGAGGGAACAGCCCAAACGAACATTGAGGTGCTGCCACTCCAAGTACTCATCCACTCGGGCCCGTTCTTCTATGGATTTTGGGTAGAGCGTCTCACAAAACTGACCTTTATCCGCCAGATAGCTTCACCACAGAAACACTTCTTCAATTTATACATTTTCGATGAAAATGAATCGAATATGCTCACCGTATAATGGCAATGGTTTCCGCCAAATGGAAATCACCATCCACTATGGCCGGCACCTTCTGAAACCGATTGATGTTCTTGTATTCTTCAGTCAATTGCTCGCCTGGAAAGCAGAACCTCAATTATTTTTAATTAAATTTATGGTTTATTTATTACGTTTTCGGAGGGCAACGGGGCAATCTTCGAACGGAGTCTTGCTCAGTTTCAATCCAATCCATAGAGCACGACTTGGCTGCGACAGAAGATCATAATAGAACTTAATTGCCTTTGACATTCCGACCGATCTTTAGAAATAAACAAATAAATCTCCAAAAAAGCTTTTTAAAATGCAAGAGAAAGTTTTCTGATCGTCGTTTTCCAAAACTACTAAATAATACAATATAGTGGTCTCTTTCTTGGCGCGATAATTTGAAACACATAGAAAGTTTTATTGCACAGTCTTTGAAAAAAATCCGTATAAACATTTTAAAACAGCCATTACAATATATAAACTAAAACTTTAATTTTATAATTTAGCTAGAGTGTTCTGCTTGGCCTTGTGATTTATAAAAGCCAGGGATTCATCATGGTAGGGATTGGTTGCCTGACGAACACGTTCCAGCCACTTGAAAACTTTTGGAAACACTTTCTCATCGACGTTGTAGTGGCAAATCTCTGGAATATACATAAATTAGTTCAATTAGTTTTAATATATTTTAAAAAGCATGGAGGCATGGATCCACTTCAAAATGTGAATAAATGCATGGAGGCATTTAACCCACAGAGAATATCAGGCCATATCTTAGTTAATAATCATCAGATTCTTAAGCGGAATACCTTAAACGATTTTTAGATCGATTTTCCACAAATCTGCATCAAAACCTGGGAACCTAATTTTTTTGAGATATTTTATGAAATTTTCTGAGAGATCCCCTTCAAAATGTGGAAAAATGCATGGAGGCCCCATTTGACCCACAGAGAAGACCATATCTTTGCCAATAATCATCCGATTCTTAAGCGGAATACCTTAAACGATTTGTAGATCGATTTTCCACAAATCTGCATCAAAATCTGAGAATACATTTTTTTTTAGATTTTTTATGAAATTTTCTGAGGGATCCCCTTCAAAATGTGGAAAAATGCATGGAGGCCCCATTTGACCCACAGAGAAGACCATATCTGTGCCAATAATCATCCGATTCTTAAGCGGAATACCTTAAACGATTTGTAGATCGATTCTCCACAAATCTGCATCAAAACCTGGGAACCTAATTTTTTTGAGATATTTTATGAAATTTTCTGAGAGATTCATTTTCCCCTTCAAAATGTGGAAAAATGCATGGAGGCCCCATTTGACCCACAGAGAAGACCATATCTTTGCCAATAATCATCCGATTCTTAAGCGGCATACCTTAAACGATTTTAAGATCGATTTTCCACAAATCTGCATCAAAATCTGAGAACCTAATTTTTTTGAGATATTTTATGAAATTTTCTGAGGGATCCCCTTCAAAATGTGGAAAAATGCATGGAGGCCCCATTTGACCCACAGAGAAGACCATATCTTTGCCAATAATCATCCGATTCTTAAGCGGAATACCTTAAACGATTTGTAGATCAATTCTCCACAAATCTGCATCAAAACCTGGGAACCTATTTTTTTTGAGATATTTTATGAAATTTTCGGAGGGATCCCCTTCAAAATGTGGAAAAATGCATGGAGGCCCCATTTGACCCACAGAGAAGACCATATCTTTGCCAATAATCGTCCGATTCTTAAGCGGTATACCTTAAACGATTTGTAGATCGATTTTCCACAAATCTGCATCAAAATCTGAGAATACATTTTTTTTGAGATATTTTATGAAATTTTCTGAGGGATCCCCTTCAAAATGTGTAAAAATGCATGGAGGCCCCATTTGACCCAAAGAGAAGACCATATCTTTGCCAATAATCATCCGATTCTTAAGCGGTATACCTTAAACGATTTGTAGATCAATTCTCCACAAATCTGCATCAAAACCTGGGAACCTAATTTTTTTGAGATATTTTATGAAATTTTCTGAGGGATCCCCTTCAAAATGTGTAAAAATGCATGGAGGCCCCATTTGACCCAAAGAGAAGACCATATCTTTGCCAATAATCATCCGATTCTTAAGCGGAATACCTTAAACGATTTGTAGATCAATTCTCCACAAATCTGCATCAAAACCTGGGAACCTAATTTTTTTGAGATATTTTATGAAATTTTCTGAGGGATCCCCTTCAAAATGTGGAAAAATGCATGGAGGCCCCATTTGACCCACAGAGAAGACCATATCTTTGCCAATAATCGTCCGATTCTTAAGCGGAATACCTCAAACGATTTGTGGATCGATTCTCTAAAAATCTGCATCAAAATCTGAGAACATCATTTTTTTGAGATATTTTATGAAATTTTCTGAGGGATCCCCTTCAAAATGTGGAAAAATGCATGGAGGCCCCATTTGACCCACAGAGAAGACCATATCTGTGCCAATAATCATCCGATTCTTAAGCGGTATACCTTAAACGATTTGTAGATCAATTCTCCACAAATCTGCATCAAAACCTGGAAACCTAATTTTTTTTAGATTTTTTATGAAATTTTCTGAAGGATTCCCTTCAAAATGTGGAAAAATGCATGGAAGCACAATATGGACCCCGCCGATGGCTATAACTTTGCCATTAATCATCAGATTTTTTAGCGGAATACCTTAAAAGATTTGTACAACGATTCTCCATAAAACTTAGTTAATATACAATCATATAAAACCATAACTTTTTTTATATTTATAACGTTGAAAGGCTTACTCAGTTGATTTATTTCGGAGGCACAAAGAAGATCCGCCACGGTCAGTGTACTGCCCACGAGGAAGTCGTCACTAAGCCAGAAAATTTCCAAGAGGACCAGATTCTCCTCCACAGTTCTAATCAGCTCCTGAATTTTCTCTGATGTCGGTTTGGGCGCCAGACCATTGATGGGTAATAGCCAAGCATCCCGGAAGAACATTGAGCAAGCGAGTCGAATGTTGAGATGTTGCCACTCGAGGAATTCATCCACTCGAGCACGGGCCTCTATGGATTTCGGGTAAAGCTGTTCGCTAAAGTGACCTTTGTCGGCGAGATAACTTTATGGGGGAATATGGAATTGAGTTTAAATTCCAAGAGATTGGAGGAAAAATACTTACCGAATAATGGCAATTGTTTCAGCCAAGTGAAAGTCCCCATCCACTATGGCAGGCACCTTTTGGAAACGATTGATCTTCTTGTACTCTTCGGTCAACTGTTCGACTAAAAGAATTCCTTATGTAGACAGGAGAATCATGAATTCTTTGCACAGGACTCTTACATTTACGAAGGGCAATGGGGCAGAATTCGATTGGTTTTGGACTGAACTTCAAGGCTAGCCACAGTCCTCGGGAAGGAGGTGACAACAAATCGAAGTAAAACCTAATTGGAGAGGACATAATGCTCAAGAATTGGCACCCGCTGTGTATGTTGATAAACTGAACACTAAATAAGCTTTCCAGCTGATCAAAAAGAGATGAACATTTCAAACGGCAACTTACAGCACTGGCTATGAGCTTTAATTATAGAGTTGTCCCGCTCCAAAGGAGAATTTTCAATTTAGGAAATCCGGTTCTATAGCTTAAAACTAAACCCATTAAAAACAAAGAGTTATGTTCAAATTGATATGCCAAAGTATAATTGAAAACAAAATAATCGAGACAAGGCACAAACAGGTTGCAGTGATGTCTTACAAGCTTAATAAATGCAAACATAATCAGACAATTTTTTATACAATTTTAAAACAAACAAATTACAGTTTCGCGCTGGCTTTTTGTTTGGAGGTTTTGTAGAGGAAGGCATGAGCCTCATCGTGGTAAGGATTTGTGGCATCCCGGACGCGTTCAAGCCATTTGGCCACCTTGGGAAACTTCTTCTCGCTCACATTATATTGGCACAGCTCTGGAAAAAGTATAGAGTTCAGATGTGAATTTCTTAAAAATAAAAAATCTTTTCCTTACTCATTTGATTGATTTCGGAAGCTCCAAAGATATCTGCTACGGTGAGTTTATCGCCAATTAGGAAGTCTTTCTCCAGCCAGATTCGCTCTACGAGTCCCAAATTAGCTTCCACGTCCTTGATTAGCTTTTGAACCGTCTCAGGTTTTGGTGGTGGAGCCAATCCCTTAGCAGGTAAGAGCCAGACACTGCGGAAGAACAAGGCACACACCAGCCGGACATTGAGATGCTGCCACTCCAGAAACTCATCCACACGGGCGCGACCTTCCACTGATTTCGGGTATAGTGCCTCGCTGAAGAGACCTTTGTCCGAGAGATATCTACAGTGTAATGGTTAAAAAACGGGTCTTTAAACATAAAAATAGAAGTAGGCTTACCGAACAATGGAGACACTCTCGCCAAGCTGGAAGTTACCATCCACAATGGCTGGGACCTTTTGGAAGCGATTTATTTTCTTGTACTCGTCAGTAAGTTGCTCCTCTGGTAGAAAAATGAATCAAAATTTGGATAGATTACTTTAGCCGGCAAATGAGATCCTCAAACTTACGCTTTCTAAGGGCCACGGGACAATCCTCGAAAGGGGTCTTGCTCAATTTCATTCCAATCCACAGCGCACGGGATGGCTGCGATAGAAAATCGTAGTAGTACTTAATGCTCTTGGCCATCTTAGATATTCCTAAATTCAACTTATGAAATAGTAAACACAAATATGTAGTTCGATCAGATGGTTTCTATGTTTAAAAGGTTCAAGGTTCAATTCTGACGTTTTCCAACACTGGTCCCTAAAATCACCAATTGTTTCCTGGTTTGTGTCTTTGCTAAAAGGCGGGGAATAATACTATTTTGAAACAGCTATGTTATTAGATAAAATAATAAAAGAAATAATAATCACTTTCCCCAAAAGCATCTACAGCATGTGTTCAGATTAACAAAATATTGATACCGAGGTATACATGACAACCTAGTTAACCTTTATCGCTCAGCGATAAAGCTTATTGTCCCACAAAGATATATGAACGCCACAACAGGTAATACATCATTTTTACTCATACCGACATTTAAACAAATTCGTTTTAATTTATTAACGCACTCAACATTGGGACTCTACAATACACTGTCATTTTTTAAACTGTAGGTATTTTAACTACATATGTTTGTATTTATCTATAAATATAGATGTATGTTGTATATGTGTAAACTAGTATCAAAAATTAGTAGAAACGACACTTAACTAACGAAAAAATTATCGAAAAAATATATATATGCGTATATGTATCATGTACCGTTTAAATAAAAGCCAACAACAACTTAGCACGCAAATAGAAGACGTCGAGGTTTCGCTATGAAAATGCGTTGTTTTAAATGGAGAAGGATAAATCGAGGGGAGACCTTTGAAGTAGGCCCCCCCACGGTCGGACGTTAGAATGTTATGTAGTATTATATGTAGGTGTAGTATGTGCGTTGATAACAACAATAAATTATAATCGACAATAATGTGAGGTTTTTGCAGCCATTTGATGGCATTTCATTTTCTTGGTTTTTCTTTTCCGTATTTAGTGTGCACTTTTTATAATATTGTTCAAGTTGCTTTTAGTTTCGATGTTGCTTTTTTTTATGGTTCCGTTTTATAAAATATCAGGTTCTGCTATGACCAAAGATCCCTATAGCGATTTAGTTTCTATACATTTAGTTTATGTATATATATGTACCGGACCGTTCTGTGTGTGTTTGTGTGGTTGTATATAAGGTGTATGCATCGGAATATACATCTAAATTCCCGGGCTGCGATTTCACGTCTCAATCAATGTTCAGCCTGCGAAAGGATCCCTCGTTGGCCACGCAACCACCTACCAGAGGTGGTGGCTTCTCCTGATCCCTCTCGCAAGCTGCCCGCAACTTTTCATCGACCACGTATTTCTCGTCCTCCCTGAAGTATGTTGAAAAGCTGTTGAACTGAGTCTCGTACCAAGACGGACCATTCGCCAGGGAACCATTCTCGCCGCCCATCTCCACGGGTAGGTATTCCTTGCCAATAGCCTTTTGCAGTGAATCTAAGTTTGGATGGATGTGTAGCTACAAGGGAGGAATATTAGTATTAGTTTGGAAAAACCGAGTACACATTAGAATACTTACCAACTCCTTTTGTTTCATCACACCCTTGACCAATCCCAAAACAAACTGCGTTTCCCTGGAGGCGTTCACAATGTGTGTGGCCACTAAATTCGCGGGAATGCCATGCTCCAGGAAGGCGTTCATTCTCTTAAACATGCCAGCATCGAACTGCAGTACCAGAGAATAGGGGATCTTGGTGAAATCGATGATCTCCACCACACCGGCTATGTTCCAGTTGTCGTCCGTATTTATCTCGATTTCGGCACGGAAGGCATGGAATCGGAATATGTCGCTGACACTGTGCTTGGAGGGCTCTATGTGACCCATGCGAGTAAAGTGAATGCGAGGGCCACCAGGGCCAATAGGATTGGGCAATGAGGTGAATATTCTAGAAAAGAATTCAATAGAAAAATATTTAAAAAAAAAAAACGGGGATCCCCAGAAAACTCACCCAGATCGGGCCAGCTCGAGAAGCTTGTCGTCCACAAGACGACTCTTGAGCAGCTCACGCTCTTTGGTCTTGTATGTATAGTAGAAGAGTATCCGCTTTTTGGCCTCCTCGAGATCCCAGTGACAAAATCGCAAAAAGGCCACCAAGAACTGATCATCGGTCCGCGCCTCAATGTATTCCTCCTGATTCAGCCAGTTGCGCAGCGCCTGGATTTTGGTAACCACATCAGAGTCCACCTCATTGAGCTGCTCTCTGGCCACTTGGGCCAGTTCGGGTGCCAGCGGTCGGATATTGGCCATGGTCACAGGAGAACTGTAATACGGACGAAACAATTAATTTAGGGAGAGGATTCCGATGCCGAAAGGTGTGTGTTATGTGGGTGTGTTCTCTGGCCAGGTGCGCACACACGACTAATCGAAATAGCGCCGCCTGCCTGGACCGAACTCCTCCAATTCTGATGCCGAATCGAATCGGAAAGCCTCGTTCATATGAAATATGGCGTACACTGGTTCGCGGTTACCCGAAAAACTCGTCCGAAGGGCAAACTCACTATGATCCAACGAATTGTGGCTTCCGATTAGACCATATCAGTGACCGATAGAAGCAAACACAAATAGAAATGTTTCGCAGATATGATAAATCAATCAATGAGCTTTCTTGTATTTCACCAAGGGGTATACTTTCTATTTTAATGTGAGCCTCTGGGATATATATTTAATTCCTTAATTTATTGAATTTCAGGCTAATTAGTTTTGGACGAGGATTGGACTTTTGATTTTCAAGATAATATTTTTATAGATCCCCGATTACAGATTACCGATTGCAACTACATCCTCTTGAAAAGGACTAGAAATGGCATTAACTTTAAGACCGATTACTGGGTAATTCCGGCCAACTGTGCAACCCGATTCCGCGATAAGATAAAGTCTATGGCGTGGTCCGATGCCCAGACGACGCCGTCCAAACAGCTCCCCTAGCAGCTGCACACAGTCAGCGTTCCATTATATCTATATGTTTGCCACTGATGCAGTCGACTGGCAATCTTATCTCGCGGGAGAGACTTCGACCGCTTCCAAATGCCCGATGTTCGGATTGAAGCGGATGAGATATCTGGCCAGAAAGGAGAGGGAGAGAGCCGGAGCCACGTTCGCTATCAGTTAGAATGAGTGGCCATAAAGGCCGTAGATTAGCATTTGACGGTTATTTTTTTGGCTACGGATTGGCCGAGTGATTTGAGAAAAGTTTTAGTAGCCATCCAGCTGCCAGAAAGCTAACGCCTTTAACGCCATGGCCGAGCTGCGTCCTTTGAGCGTCGAACTGAGGCGCATCGCCGAAACGGAGCTGAACGAAGTGGAGGAGCGAGTACCCGCCGATCTGGAGGCTCTCAGGAACTGGCTGTCCAAGCAGCCGCATCTGAAGGCCCGCCAGGATGACCAGTTCCTCGTTGGTTTCCTGCGCGGCTGCAAGTTCAGTCTGGAGAAGACCAAATCCAAGCTGGACAACTTTTACACGATCAAGACTCTGATGCCGGAGCTATTCGGCAACCGAACCATGGACGAGAAGAACATAGCTCTGTGTAGAACGGGGTGTGTTGGAGTGATCTCTTGTCCCAAATTGAAGAACTAACCCAAAATCTTTCTAGGACCTATGTACGATTGCCCAAGCCCTGGGGTCCTGGTGGCCCCCGGTTGCAGCTTACCACCTACGAGAAGTTCGATCCCAAGTCGTTCAAGCTATTGGACCTATTCCGGTTCCAGACAATGATTTCGGAGCAGGCCATCAGCCAGGATGACAACAGCAATATTAGCGGTTACATCGAGATCATAGACATGGGCAAACTGAGCCTCAGCTTCCTGGCCCAGCTGGACTTTACGCTAATCAAGAAAATGGGAGTATTTGCCGAGAAGGCTCAACCCACCCGCCTGAAGGGCGTCCACCTCATCAACTGTCCCAAGGAGGGAGTGGCGCTCCTCAATCTGGCCAAGAGCCTCATGCCCAGCAAGCTGCAGCAACGGGTAAGTGCCGGCGAACTGGCTCCCAAAAATAGCTGACTAGTTGTGGGGGGAATTTCAGCTAAATTAGACCCTTATCGGAGGCCACTTTGCGAGGATTATCAGCCAGCCGGGCCAGAAACTGATAAGAGCCGTCAAGAGGTTTCGCGTTCGCTCACCCTTGAACCACTATATTAATTAAAACTTTACAAATCACTGCAAGTTCCTTGGCAAGGTTCACACATGGTCAAGTGCAACATTGCCTGAGGTCAGTTGCCCAAGCAGGCAGGGCTCTTATCAGGGCGGGCTTATTGCAGACACTTTATCTTCCGCCTGACTCACCCAGCCACTCTTTCCTCCTCGCAGTTTCACGTTTATAAAAATCTGGATCAACTGGCCGAGGTGATACCGAGGGAATACCTGCCGGAGGAGTTTGGTGGCTCCAACGGACGCATAGCCGACATCAAGGCGGAGATGGAGAAGGGATTGGTGGCCTACCAGGACTACTTCCGCGAGGAGACCAAGTACGGCGTCAATGAGCAACTGCGACCCGGCAAACGAGTCACTGCCGACACACTCTTTGGGGTGGAGGGATCCTTCCGCAAGCTCGACATCGATTAGATGCGAAAAAGTATTAAAATTAATTGTAAAAGGACAGAGGAGTGTGGTCTCCATTAAAGGCTTAACTAGAAACACGGGAGCACCGCCGAGACAGGTGCAACAGATGGCCGGATCGCAGAGCCATTTGCTTTTAGTTGGCCCTATCTGTGACACCTGTTAATGGCTTTGTCAATCAGTTAACCAAATCATGGGGGGATCAGAGGTTGGTCGTGTTAATTAACACCTCGCCCGGGGCAGTTCCTCTGCAGAAGTCAACGGGATGACAACGTTCTCCAACGGCGAAGAAGTTAGTACCAGCAGGAACCTGTGTTTATATCACTTTTATGTTCCCATTCCCACTTTAGTTCGACTTTAGCAAGTGGGACTTCCCGGCGGAGCGCATCTGGCTGCACAAGCCCGATGTCGAGATCACCTGGAAGATCTGCACCTTTGTGCCCCTGATAGCCTTCGGTTTGTATGGCAACATTGTAATGGTCTATCTGATAGTCGCCAATCGATCCCTGAGAACGCCCACGAACATGATCATTGCCAACATGGCAGTGGCCGATCTGCTCACGCTGGCCATCTGCCCTGCCATGTTCATGTTGAACGACTTCTACCAGAACTATCAGTTGGGCTGCGTCGGCTGCAAGCTGGAGGGCTTCCTGGTGGTGGTCTTCCTCATCACAGCGGTCCTCAATCTCTCAGCTGTTAGCTACGATCGCCTGACCGCCATCGTCCTGCCCAGGGAGACCCGTCTCACAACGAGGGGCGCCCAAATAGTTCTCGTTTCCACCTGGATATCGGGCATCCTGTTGGCCTCACCCTTGGCCTTCTACCGGTCCTACAGGGTGCGCATCTGGAAGAACTTCACCGAGCGGTACTGCAAGGAGAACACTGTGGTTTTGCCAAAGTACTGGTACGTGCTGATCACCATTCTGGTGTGGCTTCCCCTGGGCATCATGCTCATCTGCTACATAGCCATTTTCTACAAGGTAAGTCTACAAGAGTATTCCTTTCCTGGGAAGTCTGGGATTAAAAGAGCTCTTCAAACCAGCTGGATCGCTACGAGAAGCGCCTCAGGAGCCGCGAAAATCCTCTGACGGTCAGCTACAAACGGAGTGTGGCCAAGACCCTCTTCATCGTGGTGGTGGTCTTTGCTGCCCTCCGGCTTCCCTTCACCATTTTGGTGGTGCTACGGGAGAAGTACTATGACGAGGATATATCCGTGAGCAGTGGTATGCAGCTCTTCTGGTACATCTCCCAGTACTTGATGTTTCTCAATGCCGCCGTCAACCCGCTCATCTACGGATTCAACAACGAGAACTTCCGTAGGGCCTACAACCAGATCTCTTGGGTCCGACGATGCCGAGAAACCACAAAGCTAAGGAGGGAATCGAATCCTGAAGACCACTGTTGCTATTGTGCGTTTATGAAGAAGGGGAAAGCTTCCATTAAAAAAGCGGTGGAACCTCAACAGCCCAAGACTGTGGAAGTAGACTTGAGCAGGGAGTTGTCCACCGAAAGTTATCCGACGACCAAGGCCACGGAAAGGATACGGGACGAACCTGGAGACAACCTTGTGCCAGAGATCGAAGCTGATGGGTTTATCTGAGTAATTAACTATATCTTGTAATAGTAACCCCTATCAGCTGGCCCAAGATCTCTGAACTAAAAGCTTTAGAAACCGTTTTTATGAAACCAGCTGGGGAGTATTCTCTAACCTTGCACGTGGTACAGTTCTGAATGTTTCGTTTTGTATAGTTTTTACAAAAATCCAAGAAATATATGTGAATCAAATGTGTACAATACTGTTTGTGTTACTAGTCTTTGTGGTTAGTGTGCCTTGGGGTCATGGATTCCAAGTGCTTTTCGAGGAGACATTTCCCACCCACTTTCTCAGCTCGGATCAGGAAGCGGTGCAGCACAAGCGGGCTGCCGATGTGCCGCATTTCTTTGACCAAGGTCTCTATTCAATTCAAATAACAACTTTATTAACAAATATAATTTAAAAGTGGCTAGAATCTGGCTAGAATCTAGACCACCGCCTCTCAGGCTAAACCAAACAATTCAGACTTCATGTAAGCAAAGCCATGGGACTCCAGGAATCGGATGAACTGGCCCATGCCCATGACACCATCCTCCTCGTTGAAGAGCTGTTCGCTAAAGTCCTCGAATCCGCGCTTCCTTTGCCGCGGTTCCGTTCGCACCAAGCTGATCTTTTGCCACCGCAGGGCCTTGATGCAGCGCCAGAACTCCTGGACGTTGTCGGTCGCCCCTTCCACGCAAATGATGCCGGGCTTGCCGGGGCGACTGAAGCCCGTCAGGTCCAACTGACGAGCCTGGCGTATCAGCTCCTGCCGCTTGGCCGATGACTTGATGTGGTGCGAGTAGATCCACAGGCGTTCCAGGTGGCTAGCCACTGGCTGGGGTGGTTCGGGAGGCATCTTCGGTTCTGAGAACTCGCTATCCGGTCGTTTGAGCAGCTCCTCGATCTTTTCCAGAAGCCAACTGAGTAGCTGGAAGATGTACGGCTCCGTCTCCTCGACTTGCAGTTCATTTTGGTAATTTTCTACCTCAGTCTTGAGGCAATGTTCGCGGGACTTGCCGAGGAGGGGACTGTGCACACTAACCCGTGCCCGTTCCAATAGCGGATACAGATGTGGCAGCTCCACCCTGACCTCCACGCTATGGCTGTTGCTTAGATTCAATTTCACGATGTACTCCAGGTGCGAAGGCAGATCGGTGAACGACTTGCCTTTATCTTCGGCTAGGAATTCATTGAAATCCGCCACCACGCCGGCATCAAGCATCTGCAGCTCCCCGGGGCCGCAATATATGGAGGTCAGCAACTCCAGCTCCTCCAGCTGCTGGCCAATGCAGCGGCGATAGGTTTGCAGCTCATCCTCGGCCATGGCTAACAGAGAATGTGAGAGAATTGTTTGGTTTAGTCAGCGGGCGGCGGTCTAAGCTTAAGGCCTACAAATCCTACACAAGCAAGGCTAACACACGAGAGTATCCTATTCCAGCAAGCTTTAGCTTCGATGGCTTGACGCGAGTGGCCTCGGTGCCAGTGCCCTTCCCTTTGGACATCTGCATCCTCCAGCTGCCCACTGTCAAGTATGCCACGGCCCTGCGCAAAGATCCGGCTGGACTGCGTCATTTCGCCGTCTACGCTTGGCACCAGGACGAACAGGACTACAAGCTGCTGCTCGAGCTTCCCGCTCCCATGGCAGTGGGCCTGGACTGCCTGGCCTTTGCCGGGCGTGGCTATATAGCCCTGAGCTACAACCTCACGGAGCCCGTGAAGTTGGCACGCGAGGGTTCGCCCATCTACGAGCTGTCTCCCGACACCGGAATACGAGCTGTGCAGTATTTCTCGGGCCTCCAAATGCGGGGAATGTATCTGCGGATAAGCAGCCAGGACCTGACCCTACTGCAGGCCTTCGACTCGGGATCGAACGCCAAGCAGCGGCAGTGTCCCTACTTCAAGTGGATGGGTAGAAGCTTCCAGCGCCTAGGCGCAATTCCCTGCTCCAATGCCCGTCGCCTGGAGGCCTTTGGCATCGATTACACCGACTACGTGGCGGTGGCTAACTATGCTGATGCCGAGGGACGCACCGCCATCCACTCGGAGGTCTACAGATACGATCCCAAGACCCAAAAGTTCCAGCTATTCCAGCGACTTCGAAGCAACGGAGCCGTGGATGTCAAGTACTTTAGTTTGCCGGTGAACGAGGTTAGTCGGAGGCACTTCCTCATCCTGGGCAACACCATTGGTGGCTCCAGTACAGAGCACGGCGAGGCCGACACCGTGATCTATGTTTTCGAAAAGGGCCAGTTCGTACCCTATCAGAAACTAAGCTTCTACGCCCTGGAGCGCTTTCTACCCGTTCAGGTAGGTGATCTTTTATAGCAAGTTGGACTGTTGCTGGAGCAGATTTCTTGCAGCACTCCGTATCCGAGAAGTTCTTGCTTTTGGTGGCTTGCAACAAGCAGGATGTGAAGATCTACAACCTCAATGACTGGAGATTCGAGGAGTCGAAGGTGCAGTTCACAGAAGGAGCTTTTAGCCGCGGAGTGGCCAGGATGAGGAGCTATGAGGAGGCTCAGCAGAGCTACTTGGGTAAGATATCTTTTTTAACCATCCAGACTCTCTAGCTCAACCTTTTTCAGTCATTTCTAATGAGAACATGGCCGCCAATGAGACGAACATCTTCCAGCCGCTCTTCAAGCAAGACGAACATGCCAACATGCTCCGCCAACAAATAATAGACTGGGCACGGGAGCAGAGAAAGCGTTTGGAGCAGATCGATGTGGATGGAATCATCAAAAAGCTAGAGGTATGTAATAGAATATCCCTTAATTCTTTTAAAAACTAATTTTTTAATTAAAAGGAAAAATTGAAACAAAGGGAAGAGAAGCTACAAACAGCTCACATCAAACGAGTAACAGCCAAGCTGGTAAGTCAGGGAATCTTTAGAATCCTTAGTAACTAACTCACTAACCCACATCCACAGTTTGAAGATCCTCACATGAAACTGACTCCCAGCTACTGGAAAGCATTGCAATATGCCGACCAGGCCTTGGATGTCATTGAGAAGAATGCAGTAGCCTCTAATGGAAGAAAACCCAGCAAGAGGTCTATGCAGAAACAGATGGTGGAATACAAGTTCGAGGAGATGAAAGTAGATACCCTGGTAGTCCTTGGCACTGTGCAAGCTGGACGTATCAATGGAGTGGATACAAAGACTCCTCTTTACGAATCCATTCACGCCGGAAAGGTGTACGTGAGTGAGGAGTACAAAGCAAAGCCAAGGACACAGAAAAAGCCACTGCTGGAGAATCTGACAGTCCAAGATCTGCAACTGGAGGGCAGACTTAACCAAGTTAACTGGACAAAGCTGCAGGATCAGACTGTCAAGCGTTCTGGTCGGGATGTGCAGTTCATTAAGGCTGCCGTTGAGCTGGAACATCTGGATTCCGAAGCAGTCCAAGTGAACGGCAACGAGGTGAGCAACCGCCTGCTGGGTCAGCTGATTCCAGTGGACGGGGGCGACTTTATTGTCCAGCAGGACGTGCAGTTCGCCCAGCCGGTGCAGGTGAATCGTTTGGTCATGAATCAGCGACTGAACCACATCCACATCGATCGTCAGCAGTTCGACTTGCTGCTCCGGGAAGCCAATCACACGCAGGTCATCGAGGGATCCAAGCGATTCGAGAACGTGAGAGTCATGGAACCAATCACCATCGCGGTAAGCGGGAAAGACATGACTTTCTTAAACAAATATTAAGGCTGTCTATGTTTCTTAGGGTCAACTTAGTGGCGCCGAGCTGAGGGCCATGACTCCCGTCAAGGTAACCCACCAGTCTCTGAATCTCCAAGGCGACTATGTTATAGACGGCGATGTGACCATCGGTAGACTGCTGCAAGTGGGGGATTTGCTGGATGAATCCGCACAGAAGTCAGCAGCAGAGACCTTAAAACGAGGTCTCAGCTTAGTTCAACCCCTCCAGGAAGTCAATTTGAAGTTTCTGCAACCAGTTAGGGCTAATGACAGTGATCTAAGCTTCCTTAACGCTCAGGATCTGCAGAATCTTGTTCAGCTGAACGTAGAGGAAGTGCAGGTCGTGCAGGGCAGCAAGACGATTCCCCAGAGCGTGGAAATCAGTGGGGGATTCGGTGAGGTTAAGTGGATGAATGGTGTCGATGTGGAGAATCTGACGGAACTGCTGCTCACCAAAAGCGGGAATCAAACGGTGGAAATTCCAATTCAAATTCAAGGCCTGGTGATCGATCAGGTTAACTCATCCTTAGTGGCCCTTAATGGCAGACCATTGGAGGATTATCTCCAGCTGAGTGGTCATCAGGAGTCAAATGCCACAATCTTTGTCAACCACTTGAACGCTGAGAACCTAACCCTTGGGGATCTGAACCTGAATGGTTTGATTTTCAAGCAACCACTGTCTGCTATCTACGGACATGGTAGCCAATCTCTGCACAGTTGGCACTTGCCCAAGGACTTTAATGGTTCCATACACGCCCAGAACCTGTGGCTGAATGGCAACATCAACCAGGTGACCATAGGCCACTTGGAGCAGCAGTTGCAGCAGCTGGCAGGCAACATTAAATACGTGGGTGACTTTAGCTTCGGGCATTCGGTGAACATCAGTTCCCTGAGCTTTAGCAACTCGTTGAATGGAATCGAAGCCGATCGCTTCGGTCGCTGCTGGTTGGAAACCGACGGCGATCAGGGATTCACGGCACCTCAGCAGCTGGCCTCGTTGGAGAGTCGCCAGGGCATCTGGCTCAAGGGACAACTCAACAATCACACTCTGGGGGATTTGGTCAGCCGCAGCTATAGACTCAACGCCTCGGAGCATCTGGCAGCAGTTCAGTTTGGTGAGTCAATGCCCATTTCTAAAATATAAAACATTACAGAGAAACATACTTGATTCATGCTGATTACCTTTCAGAGAACCCCATTGTGTGTCAGTCAGATATCCAGGTGGGTCGCTTGAACGGTCTCCTCATTCCCGAGAATATGCTTTATCAGAACAATCCCGGATATCTATCCGGACCAGTTAGCATTGCTGGCGATCTGACGGCCACAGGATTGTGCAACTTTAGCAGCCTCAATGGTTACCCCTTGGAACCACTGTCAAGGTATTTGGGTGGCCAGCTACCCGAAACATTCCATGCAGAGGAGGTGGAGTTTACACGGCCGCCCACTATTCATCAGTTGAACGGGCATCACCTTGGCGAGCTCTTGGATCAGGTGTGGCTGGACAACGAGCAGATTGAACTGACGGGAGTGGAATTGGACAGTTCCAACTTTGAAGGTCTGCTGGAGATGAAGGTAAACATCTGCCCAGCACAATGCCTAGCAAGTAAACAAATCCCAACTTTATGACAGGGCCCCATCAACGGACGCCAGGTGGTGGACATCAAGCAATACTACTTCAGCCGGACACGCGGAGGCCAGCAAGTGAAGACTCCAATGAGCTTGGCGTCGCATGACGTCACGTTTGGCCAGCCTCCGGCAGCCAAGTCGGTGGAACTACGTGGCATAGAAAGCAGCAGTAGCAACGGCAGCGATGTGGAGAGCAGTGGCAGCGGAGGGTGAGTGTGTTGTCCAGAGTACAGAGTGTTAAAATAGGGGGGCAAAGGGTAATTGGGGCATTTGTATTATTAGGTATCACGTTTCACTTTTGCAATTGTTTACGAGCCAACAGTTTGAGAGCCACTGGTGGGGCCATCAGCTGTGAGCGTTAGCAGGTGAAATTTCTGTACACGTTTGCAAAAGGCGCAAAATACGAGGGAACGCGTTTTAACGAGCTGAACGTTTTAACCAGGAACTCAATTCGAATCACAGGTGGTTAATTACCTTTTGTGCAGGTTGCAGGCTGTTTTAGATTGTTTAAATGCACTCTTTACGGTTGGGCAGTTTTGGCTCGTATCCAATCGACCACCTGAACATATCACACCGGGTGACTGGTGTCCTAGCAGCACTGGAGTAGTCCACTCAAACGAAACGCGCTTCGAACTCTACCTCGAAAAAGGCATTCCTTGTATTTTATTGAGTTAAGAAATCAAAATGGCCTACCTGCTGAGGCTAGTGGACAGCGTTGCCAACTTGGCAACTTTACCATAATATTTGGCCTTTTAAATGATCAATAATAAAAACAAATATTTTTTATATAAATAAATGGGAAAACAAAAAGCTCTTGTAGACAGTCAATTTTTAAAATAGAATTTAAACCATTTTGATTTTCTACTTTTCCTTAGATTTTATTTTATTTAAATGTTTACCATAAAAATCTGGCAATACAAACTGTGCTGCCAGATATTCTTGGTATTCTTACCATGAACTAGTTCTTCGCGCCATTTGCTTGTTTTAAATCTGATACTTCTTATTTAATAATATTAATTTATAGAAACTTTTCACTGGATTTCAATGACTTTGTGGCAAATACATTAAAAACTGACGGTGTTCACACCGTCAGTGGGCAGTGGAATCTATCGAAAGCCTATGTTTCCGGAAATTTAAATAATGTACTTGTGAATCAATTAAACCCAGCAAATGATGTCCTAACAATAAACAAAAATAATATTGGCTCTCTAACGACTATTGATGCACCGAAAATTGTCAAAGAAGCCACTATAAGCAGGCTCTATGCCACGGATAGCAGCCAGGTAGCAGATGTCCCGATAGCCAAATGGATCAACGAAGCTGCTTACATTTATGGGAATCACAGTATTTCCGGTACAACTAGACTGGAAAGTGTTAGCCTCTATAATGATCTGCGGGTTAATGGTTCCGTTAATGGAATTTTCTGGCAGCCAGAAAAACTCCTTCTTCGCGACACTAACCAATCATCCAATAGTCCTTTGCTGGTGGCCAACAACTTCCCGGAACAGCAGCGGATCTACAGCAACAATGTGGAGAATCTCTGGGTGGACGTCATTAACGAGCTACCAGTTAATGAATTATTACTCAACAAGGCTCAAAATCGACCCAATCTTCATGTAGAAGGCCAATTGATATTTACTCAACCACTTTCCGTGGGAGAGTATGAAGTTGGGAACAATGACTTGTGGGATGGAGGCTACAAATGGAAGCGAGGAGTAGACTCCAATGACATCGAATTGCGGGATAATGTAGCTGCCATTAAAGATCGGTTTTCCAGTAAGCATAAAATAAAACTAAATATAAAAATAAACTAAATTTCCTTATACTCCTAATAGATCCACCAAAAGTCCTGAAAAACATGATTCTGCAAAAGTTGCCTCACAAATCCAATCACTTGGAAATCATAGATGCAGGAAACAAAGATGTCCTGGCTATTTGGGACGAAAACACAAAGGAGGTAATCTACTACAATTGGCGATTGGATAAACAGCGTTTTGAGCTTAATTCAAGTGAGTTATGTAGCTTTATTCGCATATGAAGTGACACATTAGAACTTATACTAGGGAATCTTAATACTTAAAATTAATAAATAGAACATAGTTGAGACATGCACAGAGTCAGTTAGACAGTTCCCAACTCTTTATGACCAATCATAAAGAAAGTAACCGTGACGAAATACTTTGTACACTAACCCAACTTGGACATTCTAAAAATTTATTATAAATAATACAAGATAAGGTATAATCAGGACTTCACAACTACCTTCAATTTTTTCTCTAATAATTAAGTTGAGTAATTTGTGTCGCTTAGTCAATTCAAGTCAAATGAAGATGCTCTTAAATGTTCCTAATGCTCCAGCTCATCGCTCTGCACGTCGACAATGGCGCGTAAGATGCCCAGCTCCAGTTTAGCCGAGGCTCGCGACGAAAGCCGGTTCATCACATTGGCAACGTACAAGCCGAGGGCCTCGTGGCGCGACGAATTGCACAGATTCTTGAAGAACGTGGGCGGCAGCGAGTTCTCAAAGTTTCCCAGGTTAATAATCTCGGGTGTGTTCGAGGAGGCGGCGTTCAGCTTTGAGTCGAATATTATGTCGTTTTTGAAGTCTAGTTCTTCGATATGCGGCGAAAAGCCGTTCGTGGATGCAACAGAGGTGGATGCAACGGTAGCAGCCGTGGACGATGTTGGTCCACCACCACCGCTTCCGTTCAATTGCTGCGCCGACGGTACAGTTATGATGTTGATGCCTGGCGGTGGCGAACCATTGTCATCACGTTCCTTCTTCACCTGCATCAGCTGGGCGGTGGTGGTGTGCACCACATTACTAGTCTGCGTGGGCTCTGGAATGCTGACACCAGTACCTTGTTTGGTACTGTTGGTCTTTGCCAATTTTCTGCCGCTTGCTCCTGCTCCAGCTCCTGCCGTATAATCCTCGGATAGTTTGCGCTTTATTGACTCGGGCAACTGGATAGTGGTTCGGGTTTTCTGACTTTGGCCAGGCGTCTGTACCGGTGTCGATTTCTGGACAGCTGCTGCAACCGAACTGGGTGCCTTTTTCACGGTGATACCCTTCTTTTGTAGGACTGCTGCTGCTGCTACAGACACAGAGTTGTTTGTCGAGGCCCGAGGTGTATTGTTGGCCATCGTGTTCAGCAGTTTCTTCTCCTCGAAAGTCGGACGTGGAGTGTCCACAATCGGTTTGGAGTACACCCGCTCCTCCTTGTCCGGTGAGCCGGTACTGTGGGACTTTGTGGGACTCTCACCGTCCGAAGAAGCTGATCCAGTTGAATTTGCCGGCTGGCCAAAATTTTGGCCCTCCTCGTCCTCCTCCTGCTCCTGTACTTCCAGCATCTCATACTCTTCCACCTCGTCCATGGGTGTTTGTTCGCTAAAATACATTAAAGATTAGATCGCTATGTGTGAATAAAATGTCCATAATTACTTCTCCTCCTTGACCACTACTTTGGGCTCCTGGTGGATTTGGTGCATCAGACCAAAGAGCTTCCATGACGAATTACCCTTGACCTTCTCCTGCTCGTACTTCTTTTGGAGTACGATAAAGATGGAGCGCGTCTCGTGAACGGATAGCTTGTTTAGTCGCCCGATCCTGGCCCAGGCTTCCTCCTGTTCCTGCTTGGTCGATCCGCCATTGTTAGGATGCAAGGCCTTCTCCTTGGCAATGTCCGCTAGAATTTTATCCAGTTGAATTGCCATTTTGGTCAGCGTCTTGCGTCCCGCGGGTTGCGTGTTGGAAATAATTTTGAGGTTTTTTTTCTTAGCCCCACAAGCGAAAAATATAAATTGTTTGCAGCCGCCTTTTTCGCTTGGTTTTGCACTCTCTGTTTTCGCCTCTCTGTGCCTTCTCTTTCCTCTTCTGTATAACCGACGCCGATTTGGCGGAAAATGTGACCGTAATATCGAAAAATACCAGAACGCGTACAGTTTGCCCTCGATTATACAAATTTAATAAAATGAAATAATATTTATATCATGTTGTATTATTGTTAGTCGTGTCATGTATTACTTTATTAAGGTGTTCAAAAATATTTGTCGCAAACCATTTCCACTTTAAATATATATAGATTCTATGATATATATTCTACATAAAATGAACCGGTAATAACCACGATCACTTTTCAACACAGAAAATGACCGTTAATAATGAAAAGTTTAAATTTCTTATTCAAATTTCTTGCTTATTCTTATATATTTTTTAAATACTAAAATTATTTATTACCTCGAACCGGCTTGTTGTCCCACATTTCCTTTATCTTGGGGCGCAATGCATGTAATTCTTTCGATCCGCGAGGGCTCTTGCGGACTGCTGACCACAAAAGAGAATTTTGACATCCCGTAGCATGCAACGCCATAGGTCCCCAGCCGATCCACCGCTATAACCGCACCCAGAAAGTTCTTGTAGTGCTTTAGAATGCGACGTAGTCCAACCTCGGCTGCTTCAGCTGGTGGCTTTCCCGCTCGCATGGCCTCCACAGCCAGAAAGCTGGGCAGGAAACGCATCATGATATCACCGTGGCCAGTGGCCACAGCGGCACCCACCTCATTGTCCGCATAGGCACCAGCTCCAGGTATAGGCGAGTCCCCTACACGTCCCGATATTTTGTGGATCCTTCCGTTGGTGGAAGTACCCGCATGAATGTTGCTCTCTACATCGATGGCAATCATTCCAATGGTATCAATACTCCTGTCGTCGATTTCGTTATCGTGCCGGGCCCGATCCTCCATCAAACGGGTCTGGGGCGTGGGATTGGGCTTATAAGGACCGCACGATATTTTGGGATCTGGATAAACGTTCCTCCAGAAGTTTGGCTGGCAATTCTCAGCCGTCCACTGCTCCCACATCTTCTTGGACTCGGGCGTAACCAGAGATTCCGACTTCAATCCCATGGACACAGCAAAGTCCGAAGCAGAGTCTCCCACCAGCAGGGTGTGGTGCGTGTGCTCTAGGACTAATCGAGCCGCCTTGATAGCATCATTGATGGTCCGCAATCCCGCTACAGCTCCCACATCCATGGTCTTACCATCCATCACCATTGCGTCCAGAGTGGTCTCGCCGCGCTCGTCGGGGGTTCCTCCGTAGCCAACATACAGCTCGCATTGTTGTTTCTCGCACTCGGTGCAGCCCTCCACCACGGCATTGCGCGTTTGTCCAAGGCCTCCAGGGCTCTGCGTAAGGATGCGCCATGCCTCAACGTTGGCCACCGTATAATTCCATGTATTGATCACCATGGGCAAGAGTGCTCCATTTGTTCGGGTCCTATTCATATTTGTGGTTTCTTCACGGTTAGAAGGTGTACTATTTTCCTATTATCCCTATTCTCACCTGTTTGGAAACGGTCCCGAGTCCGCAGATGCCGCCGAAGCCATCAGAAGCAGAAATACGCATCCTGGAACAAATACTCTCATTGCTTAAAATAAGGTTTTTACGGCTCCGATTTTAATACTGAAGGTCCAATCACAGAGACCTGCTTATAAATACTCAGCGGCATCACCACCTCACTTTTCACACTATTGGTCTTATCGGTTGTTTTTGGAATAATCTCTTAAAAGGAGTCCCTGGGTTTTGACTATCCCCCACACTGGTGATAGTACTGTATAGTATAGTACTGCAACACCTAAGCAAGTACCGATCTATTATCAGCAGAACCACAAAGGCCCCACATATGTAGTCTATATTGACAGAATCCGAAACAAAGAACCGAACCAAACAAACTACAAACCCATTAATGCATTAAGCGTTAAACGCAACCATCTTCAAATATAAACAAAACTTACTTCCGATGCTCTAGTTTTTCTTAAGGGGAGGTTCTTTTGGATTTTTTTGAAAAAATCAATTTTTTTTTTTTAATAAAATGAAAGTTAAATATGTGTAGAATATACGTGCCAAGGGATATTTCGATGCGACGCGTATTTCTTGAGCTAGAGCGTTTCAAACATACCCATGATAACAAGAAAGCTATCTAAAGTCATTGTTTCTAAAAACTTTAAACGCGTTTTTCTCGGAACCATGTTTTCAAACCTCTTGTCGCGCACAGGGCTCGTTCTATTGATCCGATTTCCTTCATTCAAAAAATGTTTAAAAGTATATACTTTTTTGTATGCCTTATACCTAAAAAATTGTTTATTTATAATTTTTAAACGAGATCAAAGTAAAAAAAAAGAGAATAAATGTGAATTTTTTTTTTAAACGTCCATGAAATTGGTTTATTTTTACCAAAACTAATTGTCGTTAGGTATAAGGCATAGGCAATTCCCTCAATTTTAATAAATTATATACATTTTTAATTTGAGTTCACTACCAGCGGCCCTACACTCGACAAAGCAGAAAAATAGAGGTCTACGAGATCCGCCATTTTGAAGCCGCCATTTTGAATTTCCTGAATATTGAATATTTTTTTTAATCGTTAATAAACAACGAATAAAAAGTTCAAAACCTAAAGTTCGTATGTCTTTTCATTTTCCCGCAATCCATTCTCAAAGTTTGCTTAATTTTCGGAAAAATCCAAAAGAGCCTCCCCTTAAGGGGTTATATACAGTTGTACCGCGCAAAAAAAATGAAATTTTATAGATTTTTTTTTGACACCATAGAAAATTTTTATTAAAAATGTTTTACCGACGTTGTTTAGTACATGTTTCTGGGTACTTATTTAAATTTTTTCATAAAAAAAATATTAAATAGTAAAAAGTTATAGCCGAATTCCAAGATCGTCTTTTTTCGATGGTGTCTTGCGGTGGACACCATATTCTGAGAACGGTTCATCCGAAATCAAAAATTCAACAAAACTTTGTTAGTATATTGTGTTGCCTATGCTATTAGCTAGCTATTATCATAAGCTATTATCATGACTAGCTATCATGACTATCATAATTAATAAGTGGTAAAAATTTGGTGTTGATCGGATTAATAGTTTTATAGTAATCGTGTCCTCCGCAAAGGTAATTTCGATAAAACAAGATTCTGAGATAATCACGTTTAAGGTTTCAAGTTTAATGTGCAGTTGAGCGCTATAAATAGGTACAACTTCGGTTCTAATCCTCCGATCGTTATGAATTTTTGTGAGAGTATTCTCAACAGTATATACTTAAAGAATATGCAATAAAACCGATTTTTTCACCCATCACAACTGTATATAACCCCTTTAGCGGGGGACATCTGTGAAACAGGCGAAAAAAACGGATTTTCTGGAATTTTTTTTGGACAAATAAAAAAGCCAATCGAAAATTTGTAAATGAAGTTTTATTTAAAGTACAAAATAATTTTTTTTTTAAATAAATCGAAAACAGAATCGCGGCTCTAAAGCCTTTATTCGTAGGTCCTATTTTTTTAAAGGGGGTTCATGGCCGAACACCTAACGTCCTTAATTTTTTATCTAGAACAAAAAATCAAGTTTGGTTAGTTTCTGTACATCAACGGCTATCGACACACGTAGGATTTTTTTGATATATTGATTTTTTGCAAAATGGTGAGTGATTGAAAAAAATTTTCAATTTTCACGAAAAAAAAACGTTATAAAATTTTTGATAAAAAAAAGTAAGCAATATCCTACGTGTGTCGATAGACATAGGTATTCTGAGTATACTGTCAAAATATTAGATCGATAGGTTAAGAGTTTTTCGAGTTATGTGTTCGGCCAACTCAAAAAATGCGGTTTCGAGAAAAACGCGTTTGAAGTTTTAAGTACTGTGGGATATACCTGTGAGGCATCGCCGCAGAATGGAAAGTTTCCACACTTAGACACTTTTTCCGGACTCTATCTTTTGATATGTTATTTTTAAGACCCTAAGAAAATTTTTAAGAGAAAACAAAATTTTCGATTTTTTCAAAACTCTACTACTCCTCCCTTAAAAGCAAAGAAAACATTTATTAATTCATACGACTACAATATACCCTTGTACTCCAGAAATACCGGTTATAAATAATATATTTTACGCACCTTCCCAAATCTCCATCATAAGTAAAAAAGAGACTGTTAACTATAAAAAAATTATAATTTACTCAAATTTCTTGTATATTTTTTAGTTTTTGTTTAAAAAAATGTATTAATTTTGTATTTTTATCCCCGAACTGGCTTATAATTTTACCACATTCACTTCTTCTTGGGGCGGAATGCATCTAACTTGTTCGTGCCGAGTGGGCTGATCCATATTTGCGGGACTGCCGACCACAAATGGGAACTCCTTCATACCGTAGCACGCAACGCCATAGGTTCCCAGCCGATCCACCGCTATAACCGCACCCTCAAAGTTCTTGTAGTGCTTCAGAATGCGACGTAGTCCCACCTCGGCGGCTTCAGCTGGTGGCTTTCCCGCTCGCATAGCCTCCACAGCCATAAAGCTGGGCAGAAAACGCATCATTACATCCCCATCACCAGTGGCCACAGCGGCACCCACCTCATTGTCCGCATAGGCACCAGATCCAGGTATAGGCGAGTCCCCTACACGTCCCGATATTTTGTGGATAATTCCGTTGGTGGAAGTACCTGCATGAATGTTGCTCTCTACATCGATGGCAATCATTCCAATGGTATCATGACTCTTGTGGTCGATTTCGTTATCGTGCCGGAGGATCTCCTCCGTGAGCTTGGGCTTATAAGGACCGCACGATATCTTGGGATCTGGATAAACGTTCCTCCAGAAGTTCGGCTGGCAATTCTCAGCCGTCCACTGCTCCCACATCTTCTTGGACTCGGGCGTAACCAGAGATTCCGACTTCAATCCCATGGACACAGCAAAGTCCGAAGCAGAGTCTCCCACCAGCAGGGTGTGGTGCGTGTGCTCTAGGACTAATCGAGCCGCCTTGATAGCATCATTGATGGTCCGCAATCCCGCTACAGCTCCCACATCCATGGTCTTACCATCAAACACCATTGCGTCCAGGGTGGTCTCGCCGCGCTCATCGGGACTTCCTCCATAGCCAACAGTCAGCCTGCATTGTTGTTTCTCGCACTCGTTGATGCCCTCCACCACGGCATTGCGCGTTTGTCCAAGGCCTCCAGGGCTCTGCATAAGGATGCGCCATGCCTCAACGTTGGCCACCGTATAATTCCATGTATTGATCACCATGGGCAAGAGTGCTCCATTTGTTCTGGTCCTAATCATATTTGTGGTTTCTCCACGGTTAGAAGGTGTACTATTTTCCTATTATTCCTATTCTCACCTGTTTGGAAACGGTCCCGAGTCCGCAGATGCCGCCGAAGCCATCAGAAGCAGAAATACGCATCCTGGAACAAATACTCTCATTGCTTAAAATAAGGTTTTTACGGCTCCGATTTTAATACTGAAGGTCCAATCACAGAGACCTGCTTATAAATACTCAGCGGCATCACCACCTCACTTTTCACACTATTGGTCTTATCGGTTGTTTTTGGAATAATCTCTTAAAAGGAGTCCCTGGGTTTTGACTATCCCCCACACTGGTGATAGTACTGTATAGTATAGTACTGCAACACCTAAGCAAGTACCGATCTATTATCAGCAGAACCACAAAGGCCCTACATAAGTAGTCTATATTGACAGAATCCGAAACAAAGAACCGAACCAAACAAACTACAAATCCATTATTGCATTAAGCGTTAAACGCAACCATCTTCAAAAATAAACAAAACTGACTTCCGATGCTCTAGTTTTTCTTAATAGCAAAGAAAACATTCATTAATTCATACGACTACACTATACCCTTGTACTCCAGAAGTACCGGTTATAAATAATATATTTTAAGCACCTTCCAAAATGGGTATCTCCAACACAGAAATACGCGGTTAACTATTAAAAACTCAAATTTTTTCAAATTTCTTGCATATTTTTAAGTTTTTGTTTAAAAAAATGTATTTATTTTTTAATTTTATCCCCGAACTTGCTTATAATTTTACCACATTCACTTGATCTTGGGGCGGAATGCATCTAACTTGTTCGTGCCGAGTGGGCTGATCCATTTTCGCGGGACTGCTGACCACAAATGGGAACTCCTTCATCCCGTAGCACGAAGCCCCATAATTACCCAGGCGATCCACAGCTATTACGGCACCCACAAAGTCCTTGTGGTGCTTCAGGATGCGACGTATGCCCACCTCGGCGGCTTCAGCTGGCGGCTTTCCGGCTCGCATAGCCTCCACAGCCAGAAGGCTGGGCAGGAAACGCATCATTACATCCCCATCCCCAGTGGCCACAGCGGCACCCACCTCATTGTCCGCATAGGCACCGGCGCCAGGTATCGGCGAGTCGCCTACACGTCCCGGTATCTTGTGAATAGCTCCGTTGGTGGAAGTACCCGCATGAATGTTGTTCTCTACATCGATGGCAATCATTCCAATGGTGTCGTGGTTCTTGTGGCCGATGTCGTACTCGTACCGGGCCCGATCCTCCTTCCAGCGGGTCAGGGCCGTAGGCTTGGGCTTATAAGGGCCGCACGATATCTTGGGATCTGGATAAACGTTCTTCCAGAAGTTCGGCTGGCAATTCTCTGCCGTCCACTGCTGCCACTTCTCCTTTGACTCGGGCGTGACTAAAGATTCGGACTCGAATCCCATCGATACCGCGAAGTCAGCAGCTGCGTCTCCCACCAGCATAGTGTGGTGTGTGTGCTCCAGGACAAAACGAGCCACCTTGATGGCATCCTTGATGCGCCGCAAGCCCGCTACAGCTCCCACATCCATGGTCAAGCCATCCATCACCATTGCGTCCAGTGTAGTCTCTCCGCGCTCGTCTGGTGAGCCTCCATAGCCAACAGTCCCATCGCACTGCAGTTTCTCGCACTTGGAACAGCCCTCCACAACGGCGTTGCGCGTTTGCCGTAGCCCTCCCGGGCTCTGCTTAAGGATCCGCCATGCCAACACATTGGCAGCCGTAAAGTTCCATGTATTGATCACCATGGGCAGGAGTGGGCCGTTTGTTCTGGACCTGTGTTTCGTCTGTAAATCTGCATTCATAGGAGGAGTGGTCTTTTCACTATTGGGGGGTGGGGCTATAAGATTAGTAACTATATTAATGGTATCGCCTCCCCATTCTTACTTTTTTGGAAACGGAGAGGGTTTGGTTGTGGCCGGCGGCTGACTCAAGTCCGCCGATGCCGAGGAAGCCAGCCAAAGCAGACAAACGCATCCTGGAACATATACCCTCATTGTTTAAAATTCAATTTTTTTTAATTTAAGATATTCGCTTTGTTTTTACGCCTCCGATTGCGATACTGCAAGTCCAAACACTGAGAGCTGCTTATAAATACTCCGCAGCCTAACCTCACTTTGGTCTTATCGGTTGTTTTTAAAATACTCTTTAAAAAGAGTCCTGGAGGCTATGAGGCTTGACTGATTCCCTAAAAATATTTGACTTTTTTCGGTAAAATATCTTAAAACCTTCTTTAAAGAATCAGCTTCCAATTGGAATATTAATTAATGAAAGTACCTACCTTTGCCCTCCAACATAAAGCCTAAACGAAAATATATATCTGTTTTATTTCAAATCACCCTAACCACCTAGATCAGGGTATTCACTAGTCCATATTATTTTATTTAACCAGAGCCATTGTTTTTTCAGGCTTGTCCCAGCTGATGCAGCTCAGCAAACACTTATCAGAGCCCATTCGTAAGGAATGGCCAACAGTCAACGATTTGCAGTTTGGCCTGCTCGGGTTTCAGTGTCTGGGATCCAACAAAGACGATAAGATAGTGGTTAAATGCATCGACAACCAAAACAAACCCCGAGAAGCTAACATATCCAGGCGAGATGCAAAACAGCTGCTACTTGCCACAGATACGGATGACATGCCCATTCTGCTGAGGACCACCAGAGCTGTGGAGTTGTGGAAGTGGAATAATGGTAGTTACACCTTAGTCCGAGACCTGTTTCAGGGACAGCAGGTGGAGCAACTGGAGCTTATTCCGCAACACACGGACATGGAAGAGGGACTACTGGCGGTGCTTACATCCGCGCCAGCAGCAGAAATCACAATTTACAGGTAGGTCCTCGAGCAAATAACGAAAATCATGTCTCAAAAGTAGTCTTTCACAGCTTTAGCGACGGCGACCTAACCGACCTGCATCTGGTCCAAGTACTAGAACTACAAGATTCCAAACAAATGCGCACAATTCGATTCATGCATCTGCCAGAGTCGAAGGATCTCCTTCTGTTGGTGTCGAATCTCCTCCCCCGGCAATCGCTCACGATATTCGAGTACCGCGGCGCAGCTGGATTCCAGGAGATTTTAGGGGAGAGCAGTCTGCCCCAGGCCAACGAACTGAGGGTAATTGAGGTGTCCGGCACGAAGCTGGTGTCCTTGGCAACGGACGAAACCGTTTACATACTGCGACCGCAGTTTACCACACTTTAGATCACTCGATTTAGCATTTTGCACAACACTTGTTTTGGTTTTCTAAATAAAAATTTACTTTTTATTAACCGTTTTCATGGGCCTTCTAATTCTTCGCTTAATCGTCGCTGGACTCGACGTTCTCGGTCTGCAAGTTCTTGAAGGTGGACACTGGCACGTAGGTCACGTAGGTGTACAGTTTGTTGGGAGAGTCCTCATCGTCGTTGCGACGGCGAGCCAGACGCACGCGGACGCGGAATGGAGTAGACCTTTAAAAAAAAGAATAATTATTAGTATGGTATAATTTATCAGGAATACTTTTATAACGTACCTGATACCCTTGGACCAGATGTGCTTGTTCAGACGAGTGTCGATCCTCACGTCAGTGGTGCCCATCTCCTTCTCGGCGAACTTGCGGATCTCCTTGATGGCGCGGGGGGCACGCTTCTTGAAGCCGATGTTGTGGACGCGCTTGGCCAAGTGGATGGTGCACTCGCGGGTCACAACCTCGTTGATCGCCGACTTGTTGATCTTCTCTCCCTTAGTCTTGGTCATTATGCTGTTTAATCCGGAACGGTGCAACTCACTGTCCTGTCAATGAAAATGCAGTTTAGCAAAGTTGAACAATGCTCACTGAAATTGCACATGGGGCATATTCCCACAGCCGAAATAACGCAAAGCAATTCGCCAGGCACAACATATTCATGTCATTTTTGGTATTTTCGCTTGGAAATTACGGAAAAAGCCACGTGGGGCGTACATACCAATTCGAATCAGAGGTTAAAAAGAAAGAGGAAGACATGGATGGCATGTATGTATTTTGAACAAATATCGATATTTTTGTAAAATTTGACCCGGGTGGCAGTGTTGGGCTCCATAGCGTTGCCGGAGAATATAAAGTGTTCCATTTTTGTAAATTTTACTCTTTAAATAAAAGGTATTACCACTATTTACATTTTTGGCAGCATTTATACATTATTATTTAATGCCTTAAATAAGCTAAAATGTTCTTTGATTACTTTAAGACCAATTATATCGTTAACAGATTTACCTATCGTCCCATCACCTGCCACTTTACAACACTGAACTTTAACAGAATGCTTTTAACGATGTTATTTTGATATAGCCGTCTATAAATATGGAAATCGCAGGTAAAAAATACCTAATAATTCTAATTGTATTAAGCTAATCCGCCGCATAGCCCAACTTTTTGCAGTCGGCCTCCTTTGGGGTGTGACCAACCCGTTTATGCGCCTTGGCAGCCAGGGTATCGAGTCGGTCAAAGACACCGGCTCCAAGTGGAGGAACCTCCTGCAGGAAGCCCGTCTGATCGGCACCCGCTGGCGCTACTGGGTACCATTTGGTCTTAACCAGTGCGGCAGTGCCTTGTACGTGTGGACATTACAGAATTCCAGCATTACTTTGGCCGTTCCAGTGGCCAATTCGCTCAGTTTTGCATTTACTGCCATCACGGGCTACATCTTGGGCGAGAAACTTCCCGGAAAGAGTAAGTTTTTCCAAATAAACAGTCAACTGATAAATATTAAATGCTTTTTCCCCCTTGTAGAAGTCATCCTTGGCACTTTGCTAATCGGTTGCGGCAGTACCCTTCTGCTCTATGACAAACTACTCCAGGAACAGACGGAGAATCAATTAAATATAACATTCCAGTGATCTTACCCATAACCAAAGGCCAAATTGTCTTTATTGCATTCGATACTAGCTTCATTGAATGAATCATTAAATGGAGTTCGGTCCTACAGGGCCTTGTGCACCGCCTCTACCAGTACCTCCATGCTGGCAATCGGCGTTTGTGGCGTAATCCCATGACCCAGATTCGCGATGTAACGCGATTTTCCGAACTTGTGTACCATCTCGGTGGTCAGGTTGCGCAGCTCATCGGGGTTGCGGTACATGTCTTGGGGATCCAAATTTCCCTGTAACGTAATGTTTGGACCCACAATGTTACGTGCTTCGATGGGATCTACGGTCCAGTCTAATCCGATCACGTCGTAGCCCAGTTCGCTCTGTTCCTTTAACGAGTGTCCAGCACCTTTTGCAAACAACGTCTGCAACCAGCCGCGAAATCATGTACTTTATAATAAAAAAGATTACCATTTGTAAGCTATACTTACAATGGGTACCACAGGAATAACTTTTTTGGTTAGGCGGTCAACGAGTTCATCACGAATTCGGCGCAAGTAGGGTACGCACCACTCCAGGAAGTCCTCCTTGCTCAAGTGCTCAGCGGAGGACTCAAAAACTTGCAACATCTGTGCACCGGCCTTAACCTGCATCTCTAAGTAGTCCACAATCGCGTCAGTCAGTAGGTTGAGAAAGAGCTTAGAGTCTTCAGGATAGTCCTTCAGCCACGCTTTGGTCTTGGACATTGTCTTACTGCCGCCTCCTTCAATCATGTAGCCCATCAGGGTCCAGGGAGCGCCGCTGAAGCCGATAAGCGGTACACGCCCGTCTAGCTTGTGACGCATCATGGTAATGGCATCGCCCACATAACTCAGCCGCGACAAAGCGCCATCTGGAGTCAGCCGTTTCAGGTCCTCGGGAACTTTTATTGGTTGAGGTAGGACGGGTCCCACACCAGCATGCATTTCCACAGTTAGCCCAAGGGCCTGAGGAATCACCAAGATGTCTGAGAAGATAATGGAGGCGTCCAGATCGAAGCGGCGCAAGGGCTGCATGGTAACCTCACACGCCAGTTCCGGAGTGCGGCAAACTGTGAAGAAGTCATGCTGCTTACGGAGTTCCTGAAACTCCGGCAGATAGCGGCCAGCCTGGCGCATAACCCACACAGGTACACGGTCCACCACCTCACCGCGTGCAGCACGCAGCAGGTTGTCGTTCTTGAGCACGGGGAAAGGCTGCAAGGGGGAATCGGTCTTGAGCTGATCGCTGCACACGTTCGTCGGCTGCAGCAGGCACCACAACCACACCAGTCGAAGTCCAAGCAACTGCCGGGACACCGGACATGATGTAACTGCGCTTGCCTTTTTTTATCCGTCGGATAACTCACCTTGGCGTCTTTCATTCTTCAAGATGATAGCTGGACTGGTTATTGAAAGGTTTTTTGAAATTCTGGCCTAGCAATGTCGATCTAGTTTTACGAAATTAATAATGGAATTTTGCAATCCTGCATGAGTGTGCGTTCTACTTTTGTTTATGTTATCGGCTAGAGATGGCAATTAGGAAATTTCCATTTAATCGATAAGTTTCTGGTAACTTTATTGGAAACAATTTATAAATTAATATTGACAGAAAAGGTTTTCTTTTATGCTTTTCCTAATATTAAACATATTTTTTAAATTTATATGTATATGAATTTTGCAATCGCACTCCTTTAATATATCTTGAAAACTAGAGATAAAGCAATCGTCTATCGTTTATCGAAACTATCTACGACGCGTTGTTGTTAAGGAATCTTTTTTCATGGAAAAAACAATTCATTTAATATTACAATGTCCACCTCAGAGGGGAAACGAGGAACAAAGCGCAAAGGGTACGGCATAAACATCTTGATTTCAGTAACTCTAATGCTCTCCTTTTGCAGGGATTCAATGTATCCGGTGTTGTTTTCAGAGTTCAAAAACCTGGTAACCAATCTGCCAGATATTTGCTTTGAACTGCAAAGCGAAAAAGGCGCCATGACGCTCGATGAGTGCGCTATGTTTTTCTATAAACAATTTTACGAAAATCCCAGCATAAGGAAAAAGTATCCTGTCAATATAAAGCCGTGTCCACGGCTTAAAAAGAAAAAGTTCTTCAGCATACCAACAGAACTAGAACTAGGACCCACGCCCGCCAAAACCAAGGCCAAGGAAAACCGGAAACCTCCAGAAACCCTCAACGCAACCGACAAGAACCCCCCACCTTGGATGGTGGCCTTGCCAGACAGTAGCTCTGGATACTCGGATAGCGTTAGCGAATCCACTGATGTTCCTGCATGTCCCAAGAATGGCACGAATAAAAGGTCAGTGTCGAAAGAGAAAATAAATGTTGAGGAGTTTGCGAAAGACGTCGAAGTTAATATAAAAAAGTAAGTAGTACACTATAGTCTACTAGAAAAACCTTTAAATTTTATTCGTTTTTGTATCAACAGCGCGGGGAACTTTATATTACCCTTGCACCGAAATATATTCTTCAAGTATTTAAACCAGGAAACTGTTTTAAATTCATGGATCCCTAAAAAAGTCAAAGAAGTTATGCCTTTAGCCGAGCAGCTGTCAACGGTGTACAACGAATTCTATATATTCCCGTTTAAACGAAAAGATATAGAATATTTTGTTGGACTTCCTAAAGAACTAAAGGAACGTATTTTTAAATATGGGATACCTATAGATGACAAGGCAGAAACGACAGTTCAATTGTAAGATTTTTAAATGAATAATCTATTCTGATTAACTTAAAATTTATTTTTTAGAATGTGTCCCATCATTTCGTTGACAATCTTTGAGGATCACATTTTAAACTTAAGAGAAATTTTGGCAAAAATCAAATCTGAAGATAGATCTGGCAAAAACTGGAAGTGGGCAGATTACTCCCAAGCCTACTATTTTGCATTTTATCTTAATGTTGAGATTAGAGAAAAGTACGGCTTCAAAGTTAAAGAGTGCCACCCACGGATGAAGGATCGCCTTCTAAAAATACCTAACAAAGCGACTGCCGAGTTTTTGAAGAGACGCATGCCCCAGAATCTCCCTCAAATTAACTCGATGGTTACCACAACTCCCTTGCCGGAGATTATCACGGAAGTGACGAAAAAAGATAATGCGGAGAAACAAATTACGTTTGGACTTTTTAAGCGTTTCATTAAAAACCTAGACGAAGTTATTCTGCAAATGCAGGCGTGTGAAAAATACAAAAATAAATCGGAAAAAGAATGCGCTAAGCAATTGTATAAGGACTTGTATTCAGACCCCGATTTTCACAAGAAGTTTGAGTGTAAGTGGAAGCCATGCCCGGCTCGAATACGCCAAATTCTGCTAAGCTATCAAAAGGATATACCTCCGCAGCCAGATAAAGAACTGGAACGTTCTCCTGTGAATAATGGTATACAAATTTTAGAGGCATTGGAATTAACTCCAATACCCAACGATGTACTTGAAAAGTGGGTCAAAAACTATGAAAAAACAAAAGCTAATGAGCCTGCAATAGAACCTGAAAATCGGGCGAAACAAACGAAGAAACCTTCTTCAGTTGTGATACCTAAAACAATATCATTCAAGCTGTTTACCCGATTAATTCAAAACCTTGATAGTATAATATTACAAATGAAACAATGGCCCAAATACAGAGACAAATCGGATATGGAGTGCGTTACAACATTTTACAACAACTATTTTTCATATCCCAAATTTCGAAAAATATTTGTTAGCAAATGGAAACCATGTCCTGGGAGAGTTCGCGATTTGCTGAGTAGCTATGCGGTGGAAGACAAAGAGAATCGGAGAGAAACTAAGTAAGTTGGTAGATTTTAAACCTTATATCCTTATTAATAACTCTTACTTCCGTTTAGTCATAAAACCAAACAAGTGGACTATGATGTAGTGGAGGACTTGGGGTAAGAAATGAAAACATTTTTAAATCCGAAAGTTCCTAAAAAATTACATTTTATTTAGATTTGGTCTTTTTAAAATGCCAGTTTCGTTTGATAAATTCTGCCAATGTATTAATATTGATGATATTGTGGCCAAGTTGATGAAAACCAATGATAAAAAGGTGATACGTGCAGACCTAAACAAATACACATCGTACTGCACCGATATATATACTCAATTTTTTCTGTTCCCCCATTATCGACAAAAAATTGCCTATCATGTTAAAACAGCAGATCCAGAATTTCGAAAACAATTGGAGAAATATGCTATTCCCATGGATGAGAAAGCTAAGAGTTCCATGGCCAAACATTCATTAAAATCACAATTGATAAACGTAAAAGGTGTCGTCTACAAGTTTCCAGTGACTTTTGAAACCTTTATCCAATATATTAATAAAGAAGACTTGGTGGTGTCGCTAATTAAAGACGCAGCACCAACTGCGAGCTCCAAGAAAGTGGCAGAAATACAAGCAGACGAGCGGAAAAGCACTCACCTGTTACGTGGATTCTACCACAATTTTTACACATCTCGCGATGAAAAAGAAAGATTCATCTGGTCTTTTGATGGGGCACCGCTGGCAACTCTTGCAAAGCTACATGAATTCGCTGTGCCTATATTGTGTCAGTCTAAGGAGGTTCCAATCGATCGCCTAATGAAACACTTCAATCAGTCAGCTTTGCAGCGCAATCCACCCATTTCATATCAAATATTTGAATGTTTTCTCGACTTGGATGTGGTGGTTAAGAAAATGCAAGAGGAGCCAACATATGCACAAGAAAGTAATGATAATTGCAAAAAGATATTCTACAGAGAGTTCTACAACAATCCAAGAGTACGGTTGAAGTATCCATATCAGATAAAAGCTTGTCCGCCAGAACTATTGAATAAAATATTGATGATTCCATCGAAAGACCAGCCAATAAAGAAATTTCCAGCGCAAAGTCAGTTAAACCCATCAGATCTAAAGGAACTTTATGCCGCCCGAAGACAAGAATTATATTCGTAAGTATTACATTAAATATACAATTATTATTTTTATTATTTCCTTTTTTTTTTTAAGTAAAACTTTGGAAAATGTTCGCTATAACCTGAGCACTCATGTATTACATGGCAATTGTCATATCCCTGATAAACCCAGTTCAGATGAAGCAGTTGAACCTCCCCCAGAAGAAAATAATTTCATTGAGACCTCAGGACCTCCAGCGAGCACGACTAAAACTGGACCAGATACTTCCAGGGAAGAAAAGGAAGTTTCACCAAAAGTTGATCCGGTCAGAGAATCTCTCTTAAAGGAAGCCAAAGAAATATTCTTCACCCAAAGTGGCCTGGTTAGACATTATATTCTATATAGTGTACTATTATTAACAAGTAATCTACCCCAAACAGGAACACAACCTGCGGCTCTTGATCTGCACGAACGTTGGACTTAAAGGACTCATGTGGCGTATACTTTTTCAATTAAATCTGGAGGAATTTCAGAGCTACACAAATATTCACGGTGGGGAGAACCTGTATACTAACGAAACGGACTTGAAACAATGCTATGAGCATGTTGTAATCAAGGGAAACTGGCCACTAAATCTGTATGTCCGGCTTTCAAAGCTAAGGCACTTGATGCGCACCAAAGGTGTGGAGATGGATACATTGGACCTCAGTCTTGTATCCCCAAAGATACTACATTGGAACGAGTTGGTTCAACATACAGATTTTGACCAAATTGTCGAGTTGCAGTACACCGAACGCACTGGTATGAAGTTTTCAGACCAAAAAACCCTCTGGCAGGAGCGTAAGCAATTCTATGCAGCCTGCTGGAAGCACGATGAGTGGATCTACCAAGCCCCCAAGATTACGGACGGGCGACTAAACGAGATGCCTGTAGAGGACGTGCCACCATTAGTTGACTTTGTTTGGAGTAAGTTTATTTTTTTGCCTATAAAAGGAACTTTACTAATAGCAGTGTTTTATCCCAGGGCCGGTGTTTGACTGCGAAACTGTTGAGGACACTGCGGCTAGTAGCCTTGGCAATAAGGAAACAATAAACGCTCCAATTGGTCAACTCTCTGGCGCACTTTCTGGTATATTCTTTATTTTTTTTAATTAAAACCCAAGCTAATCAATAGTTTTGTTTCAGAAGATCACACTTATAGCAAAAGCAATGCCTCCAACTTAGAGGATATGGACAGTGACTGTCCTACAACACAGCTCCAAAAGAGTGAGTTATTCAGAAATTATTATTTTTTAGTTCATTCCAATAAAAGTTATTTTAAAAATTAGGTATCGATTCGGAAAGTGAAAACATGTCAATTTTGAGCAATTGTAGTTCCACAACGACGGTAGTTGGTAAGTTTACTTTCTCTAAAAGAAAATACATATTAAAATACTTGTTTCTTTCAGAAAAACAAAACCCTCCAGTTCAAAATCAACCTGTAACTGAAACACCTCAATTGGAACCAGTGGTTGCAACACCAACGATTCCAGAGGCAGAAAGAGAAAATGCTCAAGAACCAGAAGCTGCGGTCAATGCATCCAACTTTGTCGATGTGGACAACGTATGCCCAGCCACACAAATAGAACAAATGTCCACAGACCCGCTGACACCGATCAAGCAAGAGCCCATACGGTTTCTTAACAATCTACGAGCAGCGATTAGCGACAGTTCCATCACTGAATGTATATGGGAATCCATATCCACGGAACTAGTCTGCTTAGACAGCGATGAAGAATCGGACCTGGCTTGTTTTGCAATCCCGAAAAACGCCAATACACCAAAACCCTCTACAGTTAATGCAAAAGAAGGGGGGCAAAATGAAGAAATCTTAGGTCAAAAAGAAGCTACAGTAACTCGTAAGAAAAAAAATGCGGCCAATAATAATCCGCCTGCCAAACGTCCGCGACTAGCGAAGGATAATGTTCCGCAACTGAGGCATGGCTTTAGACCGCTGCCCCTTTCCACAACAGATCGCACGGAAGGTCTAACTTCAGGGGAACCGAACACAACTGATAACGCTTCATTGCCGAATGGTCCTGGGCCACTACCGCTAACGGCGCATGTAGCGCATGTACCACAGGATCAGCAACCACCGGCTCCACAGGAGCAGCAATCGCCGGCTCCACAGGATCCACAACAACCAGATCCCCAACCACCGGATCCAAAGGTAGGAAATGTGGCTCAGACCGCGACATCGGGTATTTCCGCCTCGCAGGATCTCGCCCTGGGCAACACTCTCCTAAATTCGTCCCAGTTGGAATGGCTTTTAAACGCGAACGTCACCTTGCGGAAGGTAATTTCAGACAATAGTAATAATAACACTGTGGTTAGTCGTCCACAGCCGGTCGGCGGTACGTCTCTATGGAGTCACGTTATTTTCCGAAAGCTAGAGGTTTATCGTTTCTTTGATTCGCTCACAGTCGATGATATTATTAAGAACCAGATAGAGGGTTGCCTAGTGGGTGCCACCTACCAGGAAGCTCTGTTCAAATTCGATAAGAGGTTGAGCAAGGTTCGCGGTCCCATTCTGGAGACACTCTTTCCCAACCTGTCGGCGAAGTTGCTGAGCGATGTGCGACAGGTGCTTCTCGATATGAAACATTTTAAGTACAACTCCCGCTATCCCGGGTACAAAAAGCCAGACTTAGATCTGCGGGAGCGCGTTTTGTCCCTTTTGATGGACGTGGCACCCAGTTTCGGAACGTTTCACTTCCACTTTGATAATGCAAGCCGGGCTTCGGCTACGTGCAGCAAAGATGGTCGGGAGGATGTAGATTTAGTTAAGCGACGAAGCGAATTTAATGTAAAAGATATTATTTCTCCAGATGTCCTGGAAGAAATGAGAGAATTGAACGATATAGATTTTTTAAATTAATATGATTTTGTTTAATTGTAATAAAAGTTATTTATGTTTATATAAATTATAATTTATAATAAATAGTTTAATTTGCTTAAAAACTAATCGATGTGTTTCTTTCTTTTCAGAGACAATTTCAAAATGGGAAAAAGCATTAAGAATTTAAGACAAAATTTTAATAATTGTGTATTTGTTGAGTTTGAAAAGTTATCGATTAATATCATTGGCGCCATTTGCCGATAAATTCTGAAAAGTACCATTGCGTTTTTATTTTTTGTAAACAATTTCTAAAACAGATGGTATGGATCGTTTAGCGAAGGTTTTCTCGCAGCAGGATGAACTAATAGCTCTGGAGGGTCCTAACAAAGATGAATACTTAACTTTCGAGTCGTTGAATACCTTACCGGGGGAAAAGAGCGAGAAATTCCACCAGCTGACGCTCCAACTTCTGGAGGATTTGCTCCAACCAGTAGATCCTTCAAAATGCACCGAAAGATCACGCCAGCTGAGGGAAGAAGGAAACCTGGTTTTCCGGGGTGCTTCCAAGGACCCGGAACTGATTCTGAAAGCATGCAAACTTTACACGGGAGCCGTTTTCGAAGCGGAGGATGTGAATGCTGAATTGGCCTTGGCTTTCGCCAACCGGGGAATAGCCCTGCAGGAATACGGGTATTTCCGGGAAGCCTACGACGACTGCGCAAATGCCCTGGACTGCGGTTATCCGGAGAATATGCGCCACAAGCTTATCATGCGACAGGCGCACTGTGCCTGGAAGCTAGAACAGCTTGATGTCCTAGAAAAGCATGTCTCTAGCTTGGAGCAGATTCAATTAAATGAATCTTTTGTTCGGCAACTGGAAAACCTGAAGAATGAATTGGAGGCACTAAAAATACAAAAAGCGGATGCAGTGGTGTCCCAAGAAAAGGATGAATCGAAGGCCTTGGAAAAAATGTAGGTTGATTTTGTTTTTATCTAAAATATCGAACTAAAATCATCATTCTATGCTAGACTTGAAGATCCTGGTGAGCGGGGTCGCTATATGGTGGCCAATGAGGCGATACCCCAAGGGACAGTCATTTTTTCCGAACGAGCATCTTGCTTTGTTCCCCTGGAGCAACGATTGATTTGCCAGCAGTGTGCTACCAGTCTGATGAGCGCTCCAATTCCATGTCCTCAGTGCCACCAAAGGGTAGTCTATTGTTCGCGAAAGTGCCGTGAGAAGCACACTGACATCCACAGATACGAGTGCGCTGGCTACCGAATGGACCTCTTCAAGCTTCTGGGCGTATCGCACTTGGCACTACGCATGGTCGTGGTGTACATGCCTCAGATATTACCAGGTCTCCGAGATTGTAAGAGCTCCGCAGAGATTTGGGAAAGCCTTATGAAGCTAGTCAATGAACCAGATGTGGGAAAGAATGTTCCTGAGTATATGCGAAGCCTTCGTATGATAAGCCACTTGGATCAGGCTGCACGCCCTGAATTTGTCTACCACATGCTCTGTGCGAATCTGCTCCAGACCTACTTACAAAAGCACACAGAATTCTTCGAGCAGTTTAGCACTACAGCTGCCGGTTTGGAAGATTGGAAAACTATAATTGCAGCCCTTATTTTGCGTTCGGCGGGTCAACTACTAGTTAATGGCCACGTCGGCAATGCACTGATTCCGGTGGGCTTGGAGGTGAATGAATTTGCCCTACTCCTGCCGGACATGTGGCAAAAACCATACCATTTAAAATTGGGACAATTGCACAATCTTTCCCACTCGGAACTTGTGACGGCCGTTAACCTTCCCTACTTGAGCTTGTGTAATCATGCCTGTGTCCCCTCGATACAAACCAAGTTCGATGGATGCTTGGTGGTCAACTATGCCAGAAGCAACATAGCTGCTAATGAGGAAATCTTTAATTGCTATACAATGGACTGTAAGAATAGCTTAAGAAGCCAGCGCACTAAGCCACTGAAGGAGGTATACAAATTCCAGTGCTGTTGCGTTGCTTGCACCCGAACTGAACCTGACAAGGACTATGTAAGGACTACAATCAAATCAACATTAAATCTGTGTAATCATTCTTTGCTCATTCCTTTAGCTTTCCTTTCATCAATACCGTTGCGAAAAAGAGAGTTGCAAGAAAACGTTTGTGCCTAATCTTCAACAGAATGAAATCACTTGGTGGATGCAAGAAAATGCTGATAACCCTATTGTTTGCCCATTTTGCAATGAACGGCAGAGTTGTGCTTGGTACAACGAGTTCCTAGACCTCATCGAGGCCAGTTCGGATTCTTCAAAGAGGCGGGAACTATACGAAAAATTCGATAACCTAGACACCTGGTTAGTGGAACATCATAGTCTGAAGGGTACCATGGCTGGAGTACTAGTAACAACTTGCTTTGCTGATATGGATGGTAAGGATAAATGTTGGGACATCAAAAGAGTTTTATAATCTATTCTTTCTCTAACCAATAGAACAAGTATGTAGTCTAACTGACTTTGACTACGAAAATCTAGCCAGAATCATTCGGAAGAATCTAGAAAGCACAGCGGCCCAATGTGGGGATACGTCCATGGAATTTATCAGCCAGATGACCTATCTCTGGGATATTGTTGCATTGAAGAAATGTGAAATAAACAAAAAGGAACTGGAATGCTTTAAAGAAAAGCTAAAATATTTAGCAACGGAGCAAAAAGACATTTTCATGCACTATTACAACGATTTTATCAAGGAACAATGTCAATAAGAATGTTCAAATAAACACTTGCTCTTCAATGAAACTTTGTGGTTTTTCTGAAAAAATATGGGTTGCGTTATGAATCTTCAAAAAAGAACAATAAATTGTCTAAAAATGAAAATTTTTGTATTTAAATTGGGGCGGTTTTGGCGCTTAAAGTGTGACCAGAGGCACGAATCAACCTTCAAAGAATTTATTTTAAATCTTTCGATATTTAGATGTTTTGAGAGCAACATTTGATGCTATCGATTTTATTGTAGTTTAAGTTAATCCAAAGTGCATTTTTATTATGTTTATGTTTAATTTTTATGTTTTTAAATATTTCTAACCTACATTTTTTTGCAATGTTCTGTGCCAAGTAGGAAATCTATCCAGCACCATCGATAGTTTCTTGTATATCGATGGTGGCTCAAGGTAAAAATCGATACCTCGATAGTGCCATCGATAGTTTCCCAGCTCTATTCTGTAGCACAATTTGGGAGTAAAAAACAGTTTCGGCAATCATTTATTTTGAAAAAATTGAAAAAAATCAACGAGTGCAAGAAAATCTCCAGTGATTTTTTAACAAAACGAACCCATACCGAACCCAAAAAATTCCATCAGCATATTTATAAGAAGAGGAGTACTACGAGGGCCAGGAAATACATATAAACGTACATATTAATGTGCATGTGTGTGCGTGCGGGCGTGTAGTAGTATTTTTCAGTTCTGTTTTCGCTGTACGTGACGTTCGGATTGATTCATATTGTTCATTACGTGAGCCTACTGCAATTGCACCACGAAACTTGACCCGTTAGCCCTAGAAGGCCGACTATGAATTTGGCCGTATTTTTGTTGTATGTTTGAATGTGCAAATAGATGCCGCTTGCAATGTAGAGCTGCTGATGGCCCCTTCAAAACGGGGGCCGCGGCCAATGCGATGCAATAAGAGCGAATTCAACAGAACAGACAAAAAACGAAACAGGGAACGCGATAGAAAGAAGAAAAAAAAAACAAAAACTAAAGTCGGTGGACTTGCAATTACGCCGCAATTGAAAGGAAAAGCTTAAAGAAGAAGCAACATATACGTCAAATACTAATACCATTGCACATCGGTCATCGCCTGACTGTGTGTGCTTGCTCGAAATTCTGGTGGCCAACAACAACAACAACAACAAGAACAAACTAGGAAACTAACACCGAGAAGAACAACACCTTCCAATCTGATCAAGAATTGACAATTGATACGTAGAATTATGAACGTAGAGAGCCAACTGAAGACACCGCTAACGCACATACGCAATCTGGTCAAACACGTGAACAAGCGAAATTTTAATGAAACCTGCGAGCATATAAAGCAGGTAAGTCTCAATATATACATATTCCACCAAAGTTCTCGAAAAAATTTTTGTTTTTGTCAACGAAAACAACAACAAAGTGTCCATGAAGAGGGGCATGAGGAAATTGTGGCAGTGCTAAAGGGTTGCCAAACTGGCACACATATATCGCACCTGGCCGCCAGAGTTGCCAATTGGCTGGGCTCACGACCCGTCACTGTTGCCATTTCACTCACTCGTGCATTTTTGCCGACGCCATTACAGTTTTGAGAAAAAATTTCTCTGCACGGCGTTGCGCGAATTGTTCCAGTTTTGTTTAAGCTAAAAGTGGTTTAAAATGTATCATATTAGGCAAATCGGGTGTTCCGAACCCAGCACGTGACTTCGGCGTGCGGCGTAGTGTGAAATTCGCGGTGAAATCGATAGTAAACCTAGCTGCAAATTCAAGGCAGCTAGTAGTGGAAGCCCAAGCTTAGCAAGGGTTTCATAAAAAAAAACCACCTTTTCTTTTTCACCAAATCGCACGAATACTGCTGATCTAGTAAGTTTATGAGTGGGTTTTAAATCCAGGGCCTTATAATCCCAGGCAGCTTTCTTTTCGCACATTCGCAATATGCTCTCGAACTCCTTTTGTGACCCCCTTCCTTTCTCGCATCGTCATCTTTTTGGCTCTCTCTCTTTCTCCTCTCCCATGTAAAGTTCGCAAAAGAGCCAGAGGCAGAGTGCCAGGGAGAGGGAGTGAGAGGGCTGGCCTCCACTTTGTGTGTAATTTGTTGTGTAGCAGCTGCGACTGCGAGGGTCACAGCTGTTGTCTCGCTTCTGCGTATACACCTCCAACTTGAAGCGCCTTGGTTCCGGACTCCCGACCTCCAGACCTCCAGACCTCAGACCCCAGACTCCGAACGGAAAAACAAAGTTGCCAGTGGGGCAGGCGGGGGCGATCTGTCAAGGTTTGACTTCTGCACCCAGTAGGTCGGTCAAAATTTCCAAGTTTGTCATGAAAATGATATAAAAAATAAACATAGGACGCCGCACATTCCGAAGAATCAATAAGAGCCTTAATGCTAATGACATGTGTCCCAGATCGCAGGCTGCCGTTGCCAGGGCGCGTATGCTACTGGCCATCCGAAATAATACACCGATGCACCTTTGCTCACCCCCACCTTTCATAATTTTTCAGTTCGTTAAAGAGCACGGCCTGGAAGCGGATCGCAGCAGTCTGCGTCACCTGTTTTCCGTGATCAACTTCAGCGACGCCTCGCCGACGGTTACCGTTCAGCTGCAGGCCAAGCTTTTGGGATCCCAGTTGCAGCGTCAGCTGCAGAGTTCATCGTTTGTGTCCAACATCTGCTTCGCTTTCGATCAGTACTTTGTTACCAATCAGAAGGTAAGTGTATACCATCCATTAGCAGAAGAACTATCATTAACCATCCGGATTTTTGCAGTCTTTGAAACCGGCAGCAGTTGCGGATCTCGTTAGCCACGTGTCGCGTTTAACCGGCATCAACAAACTCTGTGAGTGCATCTTTGCTTTGGCTGTGACCCATTCTTCGCATCCGGAGCTTAGGAAATCGGCGAAAAACAACTTGGAAGTCTCCCTTCCGGAGCTAATTAATTCCTATCTCGGGAATAATAATAGCAGTGCGGCGACCAGTGGTCTTCAAGAGATTTCCTTTGATTTGCTACAGTATCTGCTGTGCTGTCTGAGCGACTACGTAAAGCCGGAACTTGAGCACCAGTTTCTGGTCAAGTTACGCGAGGAATTTCCGCGCCAAGCGGTGCCACTCGTTCTTGCCCCGTTCCTTTACGGCTCGACGACGGCGACGGCGGCGGTTGCGGGAGCAGGTGCCAGTGAAACGGATGCGGAGGCCGAGACGACGGCCAGCAACAGCAATAGCTCCAGTTCCGAGGCGGATGCTCCTAACGAGGTGGGAATCGAGGATATCTATGACCATTTAAGCGAGATAATATTTACAAACCAGGTGCGTATTATCATTTTATCCAAACTGACCCATCTTGATAAAGAGAAATTGCATTAATTCCAGGGGAAAAATAATATTATGGACACATCCTGGATTAATTTAATCCATGAAATCGGTTACGAATTTACATCGAGCGTTGAAGAGTGCAAGAATCATTTGTGTTCCCGCGAACGAGAACGCGCTGAAGTTCAGGCCAAAGATGTCGCCAAGATCGTGGGTCTTATGTGTCGGCGGCACTCATCGCTGCTCGATTGTAATGTAAACCTTCCAACGCCAGCCAACTTCTGGCCAGGCCAGGCACAAGGACAGAGTCAGGGACAGGGAGCTGGCAGCAGTAGTAGCGGATCTTCGCAGACCCAAAGCACTTCCCAACAGCAGGGCTCCGGCAACAGCAACAACAACGATGGCGCCGAAGGTAACTCGTCTAGTGATAAAAAGGACAAGAAGGAGACGACGGAAGCTACACAAACCTGGAAGCCTGATGTCTTTGTACAGGCCCTCAAGGAGGTGGTGCCCCAGCTCAACTGGAAGGACGTGTGCCTGGGTAATTATTATTCTTATTCTATCTAGTTTCCATCTAATTGGAGTTTATTCTTTGTCCAGAACTCGACCATCCGGAGTTTGTGCTGAAAGATCGCATCGGTTTGGATCTGCTCCTGACCATATTGCGGTTGGCCACCAGTTCCAGCTTGTTCCCTCATCCAGAATGCATTTACCGCCATTGGGCGAACACGGAGGGGCAGCTGTCGCTGATCACCACAATGCTTAAGAATCCGGATCTCTTCTCTTTCTCCGACTTTGTGTTCAGCCAGCCAGCTCTGGACGTCCTCAAGACTGCCCCGGATGCGGAAAACAAGGAGATATCAGCGTGGAAGTCCCTGCATCTGGTCGAGGTGCTGCTGTCGATTGCCGACAAGGGATACTACACCCAAGTCCATGAGATTTTCAAGTTTCCCGCTCAGAACTGTCCGGATGTTCTATTTCTGGCTTTGCTGCACATTAACCCTCCGCTTTCGCCGTTGCGCCTGGATCTGTTTAACCAGCTTATCCCAACGTTTCTGGGCAATCATCCGAACTCGAACGTCATTCTGGCCAGTGCGTGGAGCTCGACCAACTTCCAGCTACGCCCCAACATCATGAACGCCATGTCCGAATGGTACCTGAGGGGAAATGATTTCGATCAGGGGAAGTTGTCGCGCATCCTAGATCTTGCCCAGGACCTGAAGGCGTTGTCGTCGCTGCTTAACGCACGATCCTTCCTGTTCATCATCGACCTGGCATGCCTTGCTTCGCGACGGGAGTACCTGAAGCTGGAAAAATGGCTCACCGACAAGATTCGAGACCACGGCGAGCCGTTCATGCAGGCCATGATCAAGGTGCTACTTCGGCGCTGTCCGCAATTGGTCAACGCCAAGGTATCCGAGGACCAGCTGCCCCCCAAACAGGCTCAGCTCTTGCCCGAGACGGTCACCACAATGATTAACTGCCTCCAGAATTGCATCAACAACTGTATGCAGCCGGAAATGGTCGAGGTGGTAATGCAGATGACTGCCAACGTCGCCATAATGGCCAACAAGGCTCGTGCCCAGCAGCAGCCAGGACTGGTTCCGCCGCCCCCGCCAAATATGCTGCGCGGCCATCGTGGCATGGATCTATCCGGCGGCATTGTGCCCCCGCCGCCGCAACAGCCTTTCTCTGGAAACCTGAACGCCCAGATGTTC